TTCAATAGGTAACTGCTAGGAAGCAGCTTATGTAAAAAAGCAATGCTGTGAATTGTGACTCATTTGCCAGTAAGGCCCATAGAAAGGACTTGCATTTGGGGGAGTTTGAGGTTCACCAGCAGGAGTCCACTGCATAAAAGAGAACCACTGGCTGCTGCATGGGGCTGTGATGCCAGTTGCACTAGAGGAGCTGGGCCTCCTGGCTTGGCAGTTCTCTCCTAGATGATCTGTTGAAAATGTGAGTATCTACTTACTGGCTAGCAGCTGGGAGAAACTCCTGGATGAAGAGAGTAAGAGAAAAACCCCCAGGGCTCCACACTCTGAAATGGGCTTTTACAACCTTGGCTACAGGAGAACCCCTCAACCCAGGCAGTCCTTTGGCCTAACACAGGGAGTTGCCTAGAGATTGTACAGAATGACGCTGTTCCAGAATCCTATAGGCATCTGAGCCTACAGTAGCTTCAGCTTGGTGCCATTCTGAGAGCCTATATACAAGGGATATACAGATGTGGCTGCTGCTGTTGTGCTGTTCCTAAAAGGGAGAGGTAGACCAGGTGCTTTTATACACCCTTAGGATGGTCCCCAGCACCCTCCTGTGAGACCAAGATGCGAGTGGACTGCTCACAGCCCCAAGGATGGTTCAACATACACATTCAATAAATGTGTTATAGCACATAAATAGAACTGATGACAAAAACCATATGATCCTCTCAATAGATGTAGAAAAATCATTTGATAAAGTTCAGCATCCTTTCATGATAAAAACCCTCAACAAACTACACAGAAGGAACATACTTCAAAATAAAAAAGTCCATATATGATAAACTCATAGCCAATATCATACTTAATGGAGAAAATTTGAAAGCATCCCCTCTAAGAACTGGAACAAGACAAGGATGCCCACTTTTAGCACTCTTAGTCATTGTAGAATGGGAAGTCCTCGCCAGAACAATCAGGAAAGAGAAGAAAATAAAAGGCATCCAAATTGGAAAAGGGGAAGTTAAATTATCTTTGTTTGTGGATGGTATGATCTTATATCTTGAAAACCCTAAAGACTCCACCAAAAACTCAGAGATTGATCAGCGAATTCAAAAATCAATGTACAAAAATCAGTGGCATTTCTATACATAAGTAATGATTTAGCAGAGTACAACAGCTACCAAAACAAAGCAAAAAAACAAAAAAACCCTCAAAACCAAAAAGCAAACAACCCTCTCCCACAAAAACCTAGGGATATATTTAACCAATGAGGTGAAAGGTCTCTACAAGGAAAACTACAAACCATTGATAAAAGAAATTATAGAGGACATAAACAAATGGAAAACATCCCACGCACGTGAATTGGAAGAATTAATATTGTTAAAATGACCATACTGACCAAAGCAATATACAGATTCAATGAAATTCCTATCACAATACCAACATCATTTTTCACAGAATTAGAAAAAAATAATTCCCAATGTCAGATGAAACAAAAAAGGGCTTGAATAGTCAAAGCAATTCTAAGCAAAAAGAACAAAACTGGAGGCATCATATTATCTGATTTCAAATTATACTATAAGGGCATAGTAAACAAAACAGCATGGTACTGTTATAAAAATGGACACATAGATTAATGGTATAGAAAAGAGAACCAAGAAACAAAACCACAGACTTATAGCTAAGTGAACTTTGACAAAGTCAACAAGAACATACACTGAAGAAATGACATCCTATTCAATAAATAGTGCTGAGAAAATTGGATTGCCATCTGTAGAAGACTGAAATTGGACCCCTAATTCTCACCATACACAGAAATCAACTCAAGATAGATTAAAAATTTGAATTAAAGACTTGAAACTATAAAAGTACTAGAAGAAAACCGACAGAAAACTCTTCTGGACATTGGTCTAGGCAAGGAATTCATAACTAAGACCTCAAAAGCACATGTAACAAAAACAAAAATAGACAAATGGGACTTAATTAAAGTAAAAAACTCTGCACAGCAAAAATATAATCAACAGAGTAAACAGACAACCTATGGAATGGGAAACTATACATCTGACAGGGGATTAATATCCAGAATTTACAAGGAACTCAAACTACTTAACAACAACAACAAAAAAGAAATAATCCCATTAAAAAGTGGGTTAGGACATGAATAGACATTTTTCAGAAGAAGACCAAAAAATGTTCAGCATCACTAATTATCAGAGAAATGCCACTTAAAACCACAACGAGATACCATCTGACACCAATCAGTGTGGCAATTATTTAAAAGATAATAAAAAAAACAGATGTTAGTGAGAAAGCAGAGAAAAGGGAACACTTATACACTGTTGGTGGGAATGTAAATTAGTACAGCCTCTATGGAAATCAGTATGGAGATTCTCAAAGAACTAAAAATAGACCTGTCATTTGATCCAATAATCCCACTACTGGATATCTACTCAAAGGAAAAGAGATAATTATATCAAAAAGATACCTGCACTCTTTTATCGCAGTGCTATTCACCATAGCAAAGATATGGAATCAACCTAAGTGTCTATCAGTGTATGATTAGAGAAAGAAAATGGGATATATACACACAATTCTTTAATATTCAGTCATGAAAAAGAATGAAATAATATTTTTCAGCAACATAGATGGATCTGGAGATCATTATCTTAAGTGAAACAACTCAGACACGGAAAGACAATACCTCATGTTCTCACTTACAAGTGGGAGATAAATAATGTGTATACATGGAAGTAGAGTGTAGAATAATAGACAGTGGGGGGTAGAGATGTGGGAGGAGGGTAGATAATTAGAAATTATTTAACGGGTACAATGTACATTACTCTAATGATGGACAAACTAAAAGCCTCGACTTCACCACTATGCAATATATATTATTCTTGTTCTCCATAAATTTATGCACATTAACAAAAAGCATAAACTCAAAACCAGGAGCTGTCAGTTCTTTAAGGGTGACTGGTATGAGCATCAATAAAGTATGCTAAAAATGTAAATTTTTTGAGATTATTTTCTAAGTTACATATTTACCTGAAGTATTAAAAATCCTGAACAAATTTAACAATAAAAAAAGTGTACAACTGTTTCTTTTAGCTAAACCAGGATGTACTGTCCTTCTATCTCTTATGATAGATTACTTAAGGCAGAGAATATATTTCACAATTTGAAACATTTATGTTTTACTTGTATGTAGAAACATTTAGGACAAGTTCTTGAAAAGACAAAAAAAAAAAAATCTAAACATAGAGAATTAAAATAGGTTACAGTATCTCCTAAAACCTGTATATGACATACTTTCCATTATGGATTCAAACAGAGCTTGTAAACACATATCAGAAATCCTAAAGTAATCTTTATTTCTAGAAAAACAGCAAAGGGCATATACAAAATAAAGTGAATTGCTAGACTTTTATAAAATCCTAACAAAAGTTTACAATTTCCTGCAGTGGAGATGCACCAGCTGCTTCAGGATGTGGGTAAGACGAGCATGTTCCTGTGGTAACCGTTTCCCACACAAGAAAAATAGTTAAAAGACAAATCTTTGCTAAGCTGCAACCTCCCAGGTCTCCTGATTTATGAGAGCAACAAGAACAAAGTAAATAGAGCTGTTTAAGAAGTAGTTTAGAAGTAAATATTCAATGAACCAGCAAAGTTTGTCAAATAAAATCACTCTTAATTTACAATGGAAAGAAATACCTTAACATAGTTTGATATTGTCAAAACATTTTAGTAAATGGAATTATATTTTTTATCGATATACCCCTAGATCTAGTATACTTTACAACCATACAAGATAAATATATACATAAATCCTTTAAGGTTCCAGTAAATCCTAAGTATATATTAATAATTCTCTTAGTGCTACAAATACAGATTTATTCAATGGAAATATGGTAGACATTTAGTTTCTCATAATCTCATATTGTTTCCTTATCTTTTAACCACAAGCTTATCTTCTTATAATATTTACATATTAGTGTTATTTATACTTTTCTTGTTCATTGTAATTCATTCATTTTATTCACTCATCCTTCCAACAAACATTTATTATTACCTATATATCAGCGAATAATTGGGTCAAATCATCTTTTGATTGATTTCTCATGTTGTACTTACTACCCTTCTTGAACTCATTCAATAATATTTCAGATAATAAAAAGGCTAATTTTTTCATTCCATTGCTGTTGATTCCCCAAAAACTTCTATCCAAGAGCTATAGTTGTTATATCTTTATTTTGAAGACTGAGATGGAGTAGGGTGTGAAGAGCAGTATTGTAAGGAAAGAAAATGAAATGTATTACTTGCACCCAACATGCAGTGCACTTAGGTAAGCGAACAACACATATTATCTTACCTAAGTTTCATTACAACAAAATGATATAAGTATATTATTATTCCCTTTTCATAAATTGAAAAACTGAGTCTCAGCACTTAAGAGATTGGTCACCTGAGGTCACACAGTTAGTATCTGGCAGTGCCAATAATGTAACTCTGGTTTGTCTAATCACAAAATCTTTTAAAAGTACAGTTAGAACCCAATACCTTTTTTTTCAGTCTTTGAAAAAAATTGTTTGAATCTATGCTACTCATAAAACTCAGATCTCCTCCTCTTCCATTTTGCCTGCAAAAACAATACACTATTTGGATCAATTGCTAAAGAAATACCTTTTAACAATGGTTTTTGAAGCAAAGGTAGACAGCTCATATAATGAAAAATGCTAATGAATAAATTAAAGAATTTTTAAAATCCTGAAATCTATCTGTCCAGACAGTGTATTATGCTTGATTTTTTTTCAGACCACTCTTCTAACATTACTGGGAATAACAACTAATAGATTATGAATAGGTATCTAAAAGTTAGTACTATAAATGTAAGTTAAATCAAGGAAAAACGCAAATATAAAATATCTATTTTTATTAACAGAAATGAAATAATATCACAAAATTAATGTTAAAGAAAAAGAATTTATTATGTAGCATTCTAATTATTTCCTATGAGTAGGTACCTTATATTCTTCATAATCATTGTTATCTAGCAAGTCCCTTTTCTCCAGTTCTACAAGTTGTTCTGCTGAGGGGTGAGCAGGTAGTGGCTTAAGAGAGGCTTGTTCATATATGGGCTTCCCACTAAAAAACAGTTCCTTCCAATCATGCATAAACTTATATGGAATCATACTATTACAAAAACAAAGAGGTAGAGATGAATCAATGGTTAATCAAATATATACTTTACACTTGAGTATTTGTATTATATATTTATGTAATTCACTCACTTTCATCAGATTTAAATAGAAATAATTACTGAAAAATAATTTTAAAGGTTACCACATGTACAATGACAATAAGACCAATATATATTAGATTTTTCTGTTGCAAATTATTTATAAATATTTAAAGTAACTGTTATCTTAAAGGGCCTTGAAAAGCATTTAGTCTGTTAATTTTGCCCAGGAAGACATTGATACCAGAGCATTAAAATGATTTCCTAAGTTTGCACAGTCAGTTGATATCAGAACTAGGAATTAAGTATTCTGATTCTGCTCAGTATTTTTAGATATATTGTTCTGTTATGAACCAGTGGAATGAAGTAATGTTCATTCATTCAAACTTAAGTTCTGGACATTTTACTAACCATTAGGGATATAATAGCAAGTGGAATTCTTGGCCTCAATTACGAGACTCTGAGAAAGAAGGGGTAAAAACAATTGCACAAATAAATAAAAAATGTTGAATGAGAATACACAATGGGAAAGCATAACAGCATGACTTCAACTTGTTGGTTCAAGGAAGGTCTCTTTGAGGAAACAGCTGCTAAGCTCAAGCCTAAAGAATGACTAGGAGGCAACTAGGACACAGTGACAGGACAATTGTTCTAAGAGGAACAAAATGAGCAAAGGAAAGAGCCAAATATGATTCAGTTGTATTTCTCTAAAAACAGATTAGAATTTGAAATTATAACTTAAAAAGTAGTATATTTCACTCTAATACATGCTTCAATATGGATGAACCTTGAAGACATTATGCTAAGTGAAATAAGCCAGACACAAAAGGACAAATATTGTATGATTCTACTTATATTAGGCACCTAAAATAAACAAATTCAGAGAGACATAAAGTATAATAGAGATATCAGGGGCTGATGACAGGGGGAATGAGGAGTAATTATATAATGCATACAGACTTAACAACCTTTCCTGTTTTAAACAGCTGTGTGGTCAGGAGTCTTAGAAAACTCCTGACTCTACTTATATTCAGGTATTTCTTCCCCCTTCCCTTTCTCCTTCATGTGTCAGGGCTTTAAAACCCTCCTTATAACCTTTAAATATTCTCTTTCTGGTTCTACTATAACATTTGTAGAGATTATTTGGCTTCACGATTGCAATCCACTGAAGTAGTCCATATATTTTTAAAAAATGAGGAAAAAAACCTTAGCTATCTGAACTTTACTGTAATTTTTCACATTCAATATGTGAGGAAAGAAACAGATAAAATGGCAAAAGTAGGAACGTTTTTAAAACAGCTTCTCTAATCTTTAAAAATATTGGTCTAGGATAGGCACAGTGGCTCATGCCTTTAATCCCAGCACTCTTGGGAGGCTGAGGTGGGAGAATAACTTGAGGACAGGAGTTCAAGACCAGCCTGGGCAATATAGTGAGACAACATCTCTGCAAAAAAATATTTTTTTAAAAAACAGAATATAGATCTTATTCTTGCTCAAGTTTCTCCCTTTCCTCAAGATTCTGACCTCACTAAGCCCCACATGATCCACTGAGGTTCCTGAATAAGAAATTCACCTGCTGTGGCTTCAGGGGCCCTGAATGTGTTCCTTTCTTTTTAACTGAAATTCCTAAGATTCCATGCATACATTTAGGCTGGCTATTCCATTTTCTCTTCTTGAATGATCCAAATTTCATAAGCTCACCTCAGACCAGCCTGCTCTGCTGAAGCGATCATTAATTCAAAATAAAGCAAGTGAGGAAGAAACATTAATACATCAAACAAGGGATGATTTAGAAGTAATACTACACTTTCCATTTTACTTCATTTAATTTGATTAATTTATTTTTTGAGACAGGCTCTTCATCTGTTGCCTGGGCTAGAGTGCAGTGGCATCATCATAGCTTACTGCAACCTCAAACTCCTAGGCTCAAGCAATCCTCCTGCCTCAGTGACCTGAGTAGCTGGGACTACAGGCGCATACCCCCACACCTGGCTAATTTTTCTATTTTTTGTAGAGATGGGGTCTCACTCAGGCTGGTTTCAAACTCCTGGCCCCCAGCAATCCTCTCATCTCAGCCTCCCAAAGTGCTTGGATTACAAGTGTGAACCACTGCCACAAAGCCACTTTCCATTTTAGAATGAGCTTTTCTGACTTTAAATAACTTGTCCTGAAAAGTCAAGCTACATGGTCTGCTTTAGCCCAGTAGGCTCTATGAATCATTTATGCTATTTGTATGTTATTCCATTGCTATTTAAACCTACTTTGATTTTTTAAGTTAAACTTTCTATTTTGAGATAATTGTAGATTCACATGAAGTTGTAAGAAAAAAATGCAGAGAGATCCATGTACCTTTTACCTAGTGCCCCCCAATTGTAATATCTTGCAAAATTATAGTACACTATCACAACCAGGATATTGACATTGATACAGTCAAGATAGAACAGGGCTATTACCACAGACACAAAACCTGTCATTTTGCCCCTTTATAGCCACACTCACTTCCCTCTCTCCCTTACCCTCTCTTTAGCCTCTGGCAGTTGCTAATCTGTTCTCAGTTTCTATAACCTTGTCATTTCACAAACATTATATAAATGGAATCATACAGTATGTAACCTTTTGAGATTAGCTTTTTTTCATTCAGCATAATTATCTGGACATTCATCCAGGTCATGGTATGTTTATTCTTTTTTATTGCTTAGCAATAGTCCGTAGTATAGATGTTTCATCATCCACTGAAGAACATCTGGATTGTTAAAAGTTTTAAGCTATTATAAATAAAGCTGCTATAAATATTCACATTTTTGTGTGAATGTAAGTCTTAATTTCTCTAGGGCAAATGCCCAGAAGTATAATTGTCAAGTAGTATGAGAGCTGTATATTCAACTTTTTGAGAAACTGACACACTGTTTTCCAGAGGGGCTGTACCATTTTACCTTCTCACCAGCAATGAATGAGTGATTTTCTCTGTATCCTTACCCATGCTTGGCGTTTTCATTAGTTTTAAACTTTTAGCCATTCTATTAGGTGTGTACAATATATCACTGTGGTTTCAATTTGAATTTGTCTAATGGCTGATGGTAAAAACGTTTTTCATGTGCATATTTGTCATCTGTGTATTCTCTTCAGTGAAATGTGTTTTCACAACTTTTGTACATTTTCTAATTGGATTTTTTTATTGTTGAGTTTTAAAAATACTTCATCTATCCTAGATATTACTTAGTCCTTTGTAGGATATGTAGTTTGCAAATACTTTCTTCCACTTTGTATATCTTTTCATCTTTTTCAAAGCAAAAGATTTTAATTTTAAGAAGTCCAATCTATCAGCTTTTATCTTTTGCAGAGCAAAAGTTTCTAATTTTAATGAAGTCCAGTTTGTCAAACTTTCCTTTATGGATTATGCTTTTGGTGTCAAGCCTAAGAACTCTTTACCTGGTCATAGAACGCAAAGATTTTCTCCTATTTTTTCAAAAGCTTTGTTTTATATTTAAGTCTATGATTCATTAGGAGCTAATTTTTATATATGGTATAAGAATTAAAGATTCTCTTTTTTAAAAAAAATTATTTCTTCACTATGGATACCCAATTGCTCCAGCACCATTTGTAAAAAAAAGGTTGTCTTTCCTTCATCGAATTACCTTTGCACCTTTGCAATAATCAATTGAGCATTTTTGTATGGATCTACTTCTGGGTTCTCCATTCTATTCTATTGATCTATGTGTCTATCCTTCTGCTAATACCACACAGTCTTGATTACTATAGCTGTATCAAAAGTCATGAAATTGGGTAGACTGATTCTGATTCCTTCCAATAAATACTTCTTTTCAAAATTATTTTAGCTATGCTAGTTACTTTGCCTTTTCACATAAATTTTAAAATAATATTGTCTGTATCTACCAAAAATCTTTCTGGGCTTTTGACAGGAATTGATTAAACTTCTATATTAACTTAGAAAAAACTGACATCTTTATTGAATCTTCCAATCCATGAACACAGCATATTTGTACATTATTTAGATCTGATTTTTATTATTTTTGTCAGTGTTTTATAGTTTCTTTCATATAAGTCCTGCACATATTTTGTTAGGTTTATACTTAAGTATTTCATTTGCTTTCCTTTGATTAATGTTTGCCTGATAAATCTTTTTCCATCCTTTTACCTTCAACATACATATATCATTTTACCTGAAATGAGTTTCTTATAGATAGCATATAGTTTGGTCATATTTTTAAGTCTACTATTTCAATGATTGATATGTTAGAACTTAAGTATTTCATTTTATTTTTGTTTTCTGTTCTTTCTGGTTTTTGTTTGTTCGTTTCTGTTTTTTTTTCCTGTCTTCCTATGGGATAAATAACTATTTTTAAAACTTCCTCTTGGAATTATCTATAGTGTTTTTGAGTGTATCTCTTTGTACAAGTTGTTTAGTTGTGCTAGGCTTTATATTATATATACATAATTTATCACATCTATTGATGTCATCATTTTACCAGTTCAAGTACAGAAATTTTACCACCCTTTAGGTCCCTTTACCTTTGCCCATTTATAATTCTTATATATTTCCTCTGCACACATTTAGAATTATATAGAAAGTGTTATAATTTTTGCTTCAACTGCCAAATTGTCTTCACAAGAGAAGAAAGAAATCCTATTGTACTTGCTCATATTTTTGCTTATCATGTTCTTTCTTCTTTTCTGATATTCCAAGGTTCCTTTCTTTGAAGGTGCTTGTTTGCAAACATAGTTGTTGAATTTGGTGTTCATGCAGAAGGATGATCTCTGGAGGTTTCTAATAAGTCATCTTGTTCCACAACCCTCCTCTGAGGTTCCTTTTCTTAAAATCATTTTCTTTCTGATTAGAGAACTTCCTTTTAGCCATTCTTTTTAGGGTAGGTATGTTGGCAACAAATTTTCTTAGTTATCATTTTCTAACAACATCAGATTTGTCCTTCAGTCCTGCAGGACATTTTCACCTTGTATAGGATTCTGTGTTGACAGTTTATTTCTTTCAGTACTCGAAAAATATTATGCCACTTCCTTCTGTTCTCCATGGTTTCTGGTGAGAAATCCTCTGTCATCCAAAATACTTTTTCTGTATAGGTTCACTGGGTACTTTCAAAGTGTTGTTTTTTTTATTAGTTTTCAGAAATTTTATTATAATGTATCTTTAGATGAATTTCTTTGGGGTTATTCAGAATTTGCTGAGATTTTTGAATTTATAGATTTATGTTGCTTGGCAAATTTGAGAAATTTTCAGTCATTATTTTTTTAGTACTTTTTTCAGCCCCACCCTGTTTCTCCTCTACGTTCAGGACTCCAATGGCATGAATGACTGGTCCCTGAGGCTCTGTTAACTTTTTTCATTCTATTTTCTCTATGTTGTCCAGACAGGTAATTTCTATTGCTTTATTTTCTAGTTCACTGACTCTTTCCTCTGTTCCCTTCATTCTGCTATTAAGCTCAACCACTGAACTTTTGATTTTGGTTATAATATCTTACAGTTCTAAGATTTCCACTTGATTCTCATTTATATTGTATTTCTCTGCTGTGACTAAATTTTTGATAAGGTTTTCTTCATTTGTTTCAAGCATGTCTGTAATTGTTCTTTGAAACATTTTTGTCATACTGCCTTAAAATCTTTATCAGACAATTCCAACATCTGTGTCATCTCAATGTTAGTTTAGTTTCCTTATGATTTTGTTCTTATAATTTCTGAACTTTTGAATTAATATTAATCTGAAAAGTATTTTTACACATTCCTCTTTAATTCCTTTACTTCTTAGTGCTATTTATTTCTTTTTTCTCAATCTTGTACCTTAATAGTTTTATCTTCAAAAGTCCTCATCATTATGTTATTTCATTTGGTAGATTTTTATATGACAATGGGCCAGACATACGGCTGTAGGAGATAGAGATATAGAGAAAGCCCTTATCATATATAGGGGTAATGGGATACTTTCTCTATTTTTTTTTTTCTGACTCTGGCTTTCATTCCATTCATTGTGAGTTCTTAAGAAGATCTCAATCTGAGTAACGGGAGAGGTATACAAATTTAACTGGATTGCCTTATCCTCTTATTTGTGGAAGTACTTTTCCTGAGATACACTGTAATGTGTCAACCCTTTAGCTTTCAGCAAAGGACAACACAAGAAATAAGTCTTTGAATTCAGATGCTACATTTGCTGAAAAGACCTTGCTGGAAGACATTCTCCTCTAGGTCCATTGGACTACTCAGTGTACATTAGGTGAGATCACATTAGAAAACTATGTGACACATAGTTTTAGACACTCACTCTTAACTGAGTGTTAAGTGTCTAACACATTAGACACTCACTCTTAACTGAGTGTCAAGAAAATTTTGTATTCTGTTGAGAACTAGAACATAAAATGAAAATCATGTAACAGATTATTTCTTTTTTTTAGTTTGGCCACTAGGAAGCTCAGATCAAATTTGCAGCTCAGTTGCAGTTACTGACAAATCTGCTGCCTATATAAGTGTCTTTCAATTTATCCTTTGTTCTTAACTCCCTACTTTAATTTGGATTTTCCTTTGTTATTATTTTGGCATTTTCTTTTTTGGTATTTTTAAATATTTCCCTATAAATATTCCTTTTAGAAACAAGGTATAATGAAAAGATGTAGATTTAATAAGTAATAAAATAATCTTTGAATAATTCCAGACTTATATAAAGTTCCAAGTGTTTCACATAAATTATCATAGTTGTATTTGCAGATTATAGAGTATTTAGACACAATTTTTAAATGTAACAAGACATAAATACACCTTAAATAACCCTAATCAACGGGTAAATCAAGGTCTCTTGGAAACCCCTTCTTAGTCTTCTTTTCATGAAATATTTTTGTCTCTCTTTACTTATCAACCTAGTATCTGCTTTACAATATTATCCTTTGTCACTCTCTTTGGTGTTTCTACTGTATTAATAATATAAAAACAATACTTACTTATTTGTCAACATTCGATAGTCTGCCACTTTAGTGGACAAATCAAGTATTTGATCCAAAATCTCTGCACACATTGAATAATGCTTTTTATAAAGAGCTTGAGCTCTTTCCACAGCAATCTGTTCATGAACTTTCTTCTCTCTGTGAATTTGTTCTTGAAAATCAATCCTAGCTTGTTTTGCCAAAGCCTAAGAAGGCAACAACATATTTTTAAGTCACTATAATTGTGCAGTGATTCAAATGAAAATAATGTCATCATTTCAATAGTTAAAAAAACATTTAAATAGAATAAAACCTCCTTTCACACCAATGTGGAGGCAAAAGCAACTCCATCTTGGATGCTCATCTGCCATGCTGACTTCTGATTCACCCCTATTCTGGGAATGCTTCTAAGATTCCTACTTTACTGTAAATCCTTCCCTTAGATTAGAACAACCCTGCCCATAAATCCTACCCTTAGGCTGATTCACATAGCATTTTTGCCTCTCCCTTAGGGAGATAACTTCAGACTTCAATTGTCCTAGCCGTTCTTCTTCCCTGGATCTGGGAGGCACAAGGATCTACCACCTTGTCTTACCTCATCACTGCTAGACACATGGCTTCTGTGTGTAAGTCCCTATTAAATGTTTCTCTCTGAGAAACTGGATTTGTCAGCCTCTTTCTTTGGCCTCTCAGTTTCCTCAGACTTTGGGGGTAGGTTTATATAAACCTGCCCACCTTGAAACAACCAGAAAAATGAATCATGAATAAAAATTTTTGCTTTAATACACTAAGTACTGAGTATGATGGCAAAGACAATATTGGGACAATACTGGAAATATTCTACCCTTAGCTTACCTCATCAACAAAACATAGTACAGTGAAAACTGGTCTAATCAGGGAAAGCCCAATGTAGATTAATGATAAATTGGATAGTAAGCCTTTAAAAACCTCACTAGTTGCAAATAGTCAGGGCTCATAGAGAAACAGTCAAGTCTTTGCCAGATCCTAAGCATAGCTGACCTCTCACTCCCACCTTAGTAGTCTCAACTTGTACACATTTGCTGTGGCCACTGCCCTTTGCCTTTCAGTGGGAAAGTTCTACAAAATTGATTTATACTTAAAAAATATTTTGGAAATTCCCTGATTATACTGGTTTGAGAATATGTCAGATTTGCCAGCAAATGTTAACTGTGTTAAGACAACAACTACAAAACCCTCTGCAGTTAAAGCCTTAATAAATTCATAACATTCATTCATAGAAACATGTATTTCTATAAAACATAATGAAATACTTAAAGAGTTTGTCATTACCCTCCACTTGATGTATTATTATTTTGTTTAGGGAACCCTTTCTTCACATAAAGTACAAAAGTCAAACTCAGCCCAGCCAAGTTGAGAATAACACAATACTCAATTAGTGGGATTCAAATGACTAAAGGTTGCTTTTCAAATAGCTACGCCAGTTTCTTGAGAAATTCAATCATGTGCTAACCTGAACCAGAAAGAAAACTTCATTCCTGTAACTTAACCCAGTGACTATAAGAATGTAAGTAAACTTGGGTTTTGGAAGAGCATTGGCTGAATTCAAGCCCCAGCTTGTGCACAAAATTCAAGTTCTAATTGTGAGATCTTGGGCAAGTCATTTGGCCTCCTTATGCCTGCATTTCTCAATGGGGTTATTAATAATTGGTTATTAATAATAACCCTATTTCTCAATGGGGTTATTAATAATTCTTAGCACACCCCAAAAATTAAACAAACTATCTTGTCAGAGCAAATATTTCTTGTCTTGATGTATACAGAAATAAGAAGATACATGTCAATGGATTGCCACAGAAGGTTGATCATTTTGCTATTGCTGTTTTGTGTGTTTATGTTATTTTTGTTGGGAAAGGAGTTGGGCTGGATAATATTTAAGGCTACTTCTGTCCATTTGACAGATTCAGGAATGACAGCAGAATTTGGTATTGTTGTAGTGTTCTATACACCCTGTTTTCATAGAGAAAGAATACAATTTAAGTACAAAGCTTTATGACATATATCATGAATCATGAAGAGTTCAGAGGAAGGGGGAATCTAAGAGAATAGGAATATTAGATGATAATTTATGGAGAGAGTGGCACTAAAATGTGTCAAGAGGTTGGTTTCTACAGAGTGTCTCTGAAACATCTGAAAATAATTAGGATGTGATAGAACCAAAACCTTGAAGGGAAGAGTAGAATTTCCCTATCAGCAATAGAACAGCTTTCAACCTGTGTTGCTGCCATTGATTTTCTGCCTCCTTTTCTCTCTCTCTCCTTCCATATTTTTCTATCTTCTTTCCTTCCTCCCTCCATTCCTACCTCCCTTTTGGTTTCTGTTCTTGCCTTCCATTCAGCTATATAGTCTTCTTCTTCTTTTAACTTCTACTATCAACCCTCTGCTAAGCCCACCACAATTTCCTGTCTCATCACAGAAAAGTGCATTGCAGCCCTAAAGAGAGAAAGAAGGAAAGGAAAAAGGAAGTCTGTGGGAGGTGGTAAATCTCAGTGGTTATGAGCTTGGACTCTGGAGTCTGATAGAGCTGGCTTTGTTTCCTGCTGTACCACTGACAAGCTGTGTTATTTTGAACCCTCTAATCTTCAATTTCCTTGTGTGCAAGATGCAGATAAAAATAGTATCCATTTATGGTTGTTGAAAGAATTACATTATATATGCATGTAATGAGCATAGCACAATGCTTGGCTCAAAGTAAATGCTCAAAGATGTTAAATATTATTGTAATTAATCATATTAATAATAGTAGGTGGCACAGAAATTTCAACTCAGGAAAGGACGAGATTAACAGACTTAATCTAAAAACAAAACAAGAACAAACAAAAAAATCTTCTGAAGGTGAAAAACACAAAGTTCTCTCCTGCCTTTCTCTCTCCCCCATTCCCTCCCTTTCCCTCTGTCATTCCCACCCTGGGAAAATAGTCATGAGCAAAAGCAAACATGGCCCTGCTTTCATTTAGCTTACATGCCAGTGGGTTAATCAGTCAGAAAGTCACACAAATAATTACATAACTACACACCATGACAAGTCTCACTAGGGAAGGACTGTGGAGTATGAAGTTACATAACGGGGGGCCTGACCTACACAAGAAGCACCATGTGCACAGAGCCCTGAAAGATGAGTATTAAGTGCGGAAGGCACATGGTAAAAGGGGGAAAGGTAGAAGAAACAACTTGCTCAGTGATCTGAGAACAGACCAACAGGGCCAGAGGTCAGGGGATAAAGGGGAGCAGGTCTGAGCAGGGATCTGGTTGATGGGATCCTATGATGGAATTTGAAGTAATGAGGGCAGGGTTCAAATCTGAGAGCCAAAAAGATTCCTCTGGTTGTAAAATGGAGAATGGATTGGAATTGGAACAGATGATAGAGAGTAGGGTAGGCAATTTTATGCTATTCCTAGTTTTCTTCCTTTGTTCATTTCAAGCAGGTAGAGATATCTTTTTAACTTCTGCTTTAGGGAATTTCTGCAGGACAAAAAGTGGAAACTATGATAGGATTCTCCTGACTTTAGTAAAAGACTAAATTCAAAGGCTATATAATCTGAGGGTTTTAAGCAAGGAGAGAAGGGAAGGTTTTGAAAGCAAAGAGAAAGAGGAAGAGATATGCACCCCATGCACTGGCAGCTCCTGGGGAGCAACCAAGCCTCAGAGGAGATCATGTGGGGGGGGGGGGCAAACAAGGGCTGGACCAGCCTCCTAAGGTTCCTGTGCAGCTGTGGGTGCAGGTGGGCTATGGGAGCTGGGGTCTCAATGGCAGTGGGCTTGTGCCTGATGCCTGCAATGTTTCCCAGATGGCTTGGTCATTGTAAAGTCGGGCATCATGCATCTCTGTGGGCAAAGGTGAATTGACAGAGTCTAACTGAGGTTGATCTAAAGAATATAAATAATGCTATGTTCTTACACCCTCCAGTTTTGTAGTTGCCAAATCGTATCCACTAAAAATGCATGAAGGAGATCACTGCAGTTGTAGTACTGCAGTAGAAACCAGAGGCGTTAGTATAGACATGGAGAAAAATGAACAAACTGAAGAGAAATTTAGTGAATGAAATTGATAAGACTTAGGACATGGGGGACAGGGGATAAAACAAATTTCAAGTGGGTTCTGAGTTTTTGGACTTGTACAGTTGGAAAAATAATGATACTGTTTGTTGAGATATAAAACCTTGAAAAAGACCAGTTTAGTGAAAAGGGTCATACATTTGGCTTTGAACATGTTGAATCAGAAGTGCCTCTGAGATACATGACTGGAGATGTCAAAGATGCAGTTAATCCTGTGGACCTGAACCCCAGAGGGCACAGGCACAAGTGTATGAATCATCTGTCTACTGCAGTAATTAAGCCATGGTTGTGATATGATTGTCTGAGGAAATAACATGGAAGAGCAAAAAAGCAAGCCTAGGACTAAGCTTTGAGAAACTCTGACAATATTTGTCTGATATCAGAGGAGAATGAGCCTGCAAAGAAGGCTGAGAAGGAGAAGCTAAAGGAGTAGGAGGAAAACCAGGGGAGTGTTTTCCACAGTAGTACTCAGTAGAAAATGACCATGGAATAGAAAATCAATACTATTAAAATAAATAATATAAATATGATGATACACCAGCAACCTTTGGTGGAGGAGTTGATAAATTCAACATGTAAATGAAAACTGTCAAATCTAGCCATCTCTGAGAGAGGTGCAAAGGAAGCAGAGTAGGAAAAGGTAATCATGTGAGAGGAAGGAACATCATTTTTTCAGGTGCTTCAGAACCTCACAACATAAATCTCTGAGGCTTGAGTGGGCCTGAGTGTCCCAATCTTCTGAAGTCAGTTCAAGCCCAGGTAAAGAAAGGACAGATGATCCTGCTCAGCACCACGAGACTAGTCCAGCTAAAAAAGCTTTGCTATTCTGCACTTAATCAATTAGGCTTTCAATAGGCACTCAGAAAGATATTAATAGCTACACATATTAATTCTAAAGTAAATGCAACTCAGTCCATTAAAGTCTATTGCTAGAGAAGAGGGACAAAATAATCATCCAGATGATTCAGCTCTTGAGGCCAAAAAAGACCCTTGAGATCAGCATTCACTCAGCTCATATTCAGGGGTGTGGCTCCTGCTTCCCACCATTTAGGCTACGTCTGCTCTGAAAAGACTAAAGTACTGTTTTCCTGACTCTGGAGATTATGGTACTTTCCAAATGGTATTTTGGAAATAAATTGTACAATTTGGGAAAAAACTATTATATATTGTATTTTCATCAGATATCACAGTAGGAACTATAAAGCTGATAAATAAAGCACTGCCTTCCAGTTTTCTGTATGGTTTTCTCTTCAGCCCAGTCTTGTCTTTATGACTATTTTATGACAGTAAAGATAGCCTATCTAAAATGCCACTCACATGAGTTATGTATCTCTTTAATCAAATGTAGACTAGTGTAATAAATAAATCTGAAACATCCCTGATAGGATATAGACAAGAAGTAATTCATATAATCTATGAATAAAATAAATCTATTTTGGTTACTAGAAAAAAAAATATATATATATCAGTTCAGGACAAACATAATGTATTAAATAATTAAGAGATTGCATATTTTGATTATCAGAGTTATAAAAGGGCCTAGATGCAATGACACCATACTAGCAGAGCATACCTAGCAGCCAGATCTTGGTTTCTATATATCATTCTCAACTACAATGCACCAGAGTACCCTACGTAAATGACTTATTCTAGTTCTGAGAGAGGAATAGCATAATAGGGACCTGGGAAATCTTTTATCAGAAGGTAAGGAATTGTTTATTAAAGTCTAATGGTGTATTATTGAAAGGAAGCAGCTTAAAAGTTCTCTCCCTGCCTGAGAATATTCAGCTAGAATAACCAACACCAATGCTTACTCTAATAAATTTAGTGGACTTTAAAGAAAAAGAAAGTCCTTTGGGTATCTAGGGTAAAAAAGTAATGACTCAAGGAAATGAAAATTAGATGATCATCATTCTTTTTGACAGAAACATTTCATACTTCAAAAAAATAGAGTGACATATTTAAGATATTCAAGGAAAGAAAATGTGAATCAAGCATTTTATACATAGCAAAACTGAAAATTAAGTATAAAAGGCATACACTATTATTGATATATAAGAACTCAGGGAATATTGTTTCCATGAGTCCTTCCTGAGGAATCTATTGGAGAAGGAACTTCAGGCAATTAAAATGCCCAGAGAGACATGGACATAGGATTGGTGGTGGGCATTAAATACTTATTAACTTGTGGAATCAAGACTGAAGATGAAGGTATAGTATGTAGTGACTATATGTTCTTTTGATGCAGTTATACAAAAATAAAAATGAGCAGATAATAGGCAGATCACATAAAAAATTAACTCTCATTAGGTGACTGGCAACAAAACACAGTTTGTTTACCATGACTTGGTAGAAAGGATCAAAAGTAACCTTAGAAAGATTTTTAAGGGACATATTGTTTACCGCTTCTCGATCAAGAGCATCCTGGAATTCTCTAAGTCGTCTTTCCTCATATTGTTTTTCTTTGAAAATTCTGTTTTGCCATAAAACTTCCTTTTCATGCCGCACGTGCATGAGCTGCACAGCAATCCTGCGCTCCTGCTGGGACTGCCGCATTAGCCGGTGAATGAGCTGCTCCTCCCGATAAGCCTCCTGAAAACACCAGGGAAAAGGCCAATGATTTGTCACAGCAATGTCCACATTTCCCACTAGACTAAGAAGCCTATATATTAATAATGCATAAAAGACATAATACTCACCTAAATTACTTTTTCCATTTGATTTAAATTTGAACATGGCAAAAATTAAGTTTAAAAACAAGAACTTCCAACAAAGGTTGTATTATTTGAGTATCTAGAACCATTAAAGTCTTGCAACTGAAATTACTTTAAATGAATTATTACTTCCTTTAAAATCTGGTTAAAAACAAGTTAGGTGATTTTTTTTTTCAAATTTTCATAAACAAGCGATATAATTCTAACGTATAAGCACATTTTCAGAAGTTTGGAATTGCATTATATGCATTCAGTCACACTACTAGTTGTAAAACAAATGCGGCCATTGTCAGCTGAAGATGGCAGACCTGATTACCTCCCAGTGGGGACATCTCAATACCAGTGTGAGGAAAAGCCAAAAATTGACAGAATGGGAAGTGACAAAAAGCTAAGGGGGAAAGACCTGTGGCTTATTTTAGAAAATCTGAGTGGATGTATTCTTGGCTGTTTTAAGAGACAGAAGGGGACCAATAAGCAGTGTAAAAGACATAATATTTAATAGAACCGAGACACAAATCACAATAACACTCTGCAATAAATGCTGAAACGTGAACTGGGGAATTGTTTAAAAATGTAGATTGAATAAAAGTTCAACTAAAAATATATATGAACTTTTTTCTGTTAGTAAGATATTATTAGAGAAAAATTAAATCATGAGCAACTTTGTCTCAGCTAGTTATAAAATTCTGAAAGCTTTAATATTAACAATTTGTTTTCTTTTCAGATCCAATATTGGAGGTAAGGCAGTATGTTAAAATGGGTCCACAAGTTCTTTCCTTTTATTCATCCACAGCCTTGCAACATTACCCTATGGATATCCTCATTAAAAAGTAGAATCTATTTTCTACTCATTAAATAGGGGGTATGGAGTGACCACTAACTCGAATTGACCAATGGAACATCAGCAAAAAACAAAACAAAACAAAACAAAATAAAACAAACAAACAAACAAAAAACCCTCAATTACACTTGGGGTCTGGGTTTCTTAATTCTCCCTGCCATCACCATCACATATGTGACCTGGCCTACTAGAAAATGAAAGGCCTTATATAGAGAGGCACCAGTCTTCCCAGTTGGACCTGATGAAGCTATCATAAGTCAACCATCCTCACCAACCAACTAACTGACCAAACTCATACAAAAGCCCAGTTGAGATCAGCAAAAGAACAGCACAGTTAATCCCAGCCCGAACTGCCTACACATTTTGGGGTGGTTTTGGATATATGAGGCACAGTCCCACCATATTTCTGAAAAATATGAACTTGCTTTATTATTCCAGGTGAATTCTAGGAGATTGGTTGTGTTTATATGGTAAGGCACTTTAGTTGTTAAAATGAGAGATTTAGTCATCTCAACCCATACAAAGAACAAATTAGATTGGCCAGTTATGTTTTGATTATTGCTGGATGAAACACATTAAGATAGGCAAAAGAAGAGATAATTACTAGGGAACGGCTGTGTCAATAATATGCATACAAAGCTTTAGAATGAAGACCAGCAAGTGTATTAAGACCTGCACTAAACAGCTGAGTGGAAAAGAAGATTTATATTTTTGTTCCATTGTATAAATAGCTCATGATTGAGATTTCAATGAAGTGCAGGAATATATTTTCTCATAGAATCAAAGATATGAGCTATAGTTAGGTGCTCAGGGCATTCTATGGATGACTGTTTAACCTAGAACATAGATGAAATATTCTGTATTTTCAATGAGTAAAATGGAAAATAATAAAAGATATGCTTCTATTTTAATTAAAATTACCATATTTAGGGAGGATTTAGATAGACATACAATCCAGAACACCCTCAATTTGATTTCTAGACCTTATACTTCTCCCATAAGTTGGAGCTAGGAACTTACTCAGGTCTGTAACCATTGCCTAATTTTCCAAAGATGCCCAAGAAGCTCTCATGGAGGCATGGGGCACTGCAGAAAAGACCTGACAGCTAAGTATTCAGGGACCTTTTAGTTAAGAAGTACGGGAGGGGAGTGGTGTTCAAATACCAATTCCAAAGAAATAGCATTGAAAAGGTTCTTGAAAGGCAGAGATAGCTAATTTGGGGCAAATCTTAAGAACTAGCCAAGATAGTAGCCAAATGACCACAGAACCAGGTAGGAGCCAAATTGTGTTCCTTGTCTGAACATCTCCACCTAAATGTCTATGAAATACTTTAAACTCAACACAACCAAAACCAAACTCACTAACTCTCCTTCAGACCTCATCTTTCCCTCTCAGTTGACAAGCTTACAATAATCTACTCTGTGATCCAAGACATTAGGGCTATCCTAAATTCACTCTTTTCTTATCACTCCTAATATCCAATTCTTCAAGAAGTCGTCTACTGCATCTCCTATGTATGTTTTTAAACCTTCCCCTAACTCCACTCCACACTCCCTGATACCACCTCTACCTTGGAGATCAGCCCTTCCCTAGCAGGCCTTCCCCCACCATCCCTTCTCTTGAAACCTGTTCTCCAGAAAGTCAAAATGATCTTTCTAACCTTAAATATCATCATTTAATTCACACAATTCCATTTATTTATGAATCACCAGAAAAGATATCAACTTGAGCATAGGTCTCTGGCTCTCTCTTCATCAGCCAAACTAAAATGAAAGTACATAAATCCCAGGGGGAAACTGCAACCACTTGGAAGCTAGGAGAGATATTTTGAGGCATTGCTGATAGATTCAGTGCAAATGCCACCAGAAGAAAGCATCCAGGATTGACATGAGATTCGTGCCATGCTTCTGAAAAGCAGCAGATATACCATTTTCTCTTTGATGGACAGGTAAACAGGCCATGATGTGCACGGGAATTTCCCACTCTACCACTGTGTCAGCTGCACAAGGAGGCTGGGCATGTTATACTCAATGAAAAGGAGGCAGTGAGAGTGGAGGCCCCTTGCTGCATGACCCATGCTTGGTTCTAGGAATAGAACTTCCCTAAACACAAAGAATAAACAATACAAGATGGGCTTTCCATGAGAGAAATATTCAGAGTCCTGACTTTTTTAATATCCTTTAGGCTGCTGAATTCCCAAACTAGTAAACATATCTCCAGTTATAGTTTTGAAAATCCAATGCTAATGGCATCTTAGTAGAAAGTGAGGAAAGCTAGGAAGAGTTCATTTATCCTATTTTCCAGGTTAATATCAGACCTAGAATATAAGCAGAAAAACAGCAAGAAAAAAAACTTGCAAGCCAACACACAAGTGTTTTGTAACATAAATAACAAGTGTGTGCAAAATTCCTTGTTGGGAAACTTGTAATGAAACCCAAAATGGGTAATTATTTTAAAATCTACTTTTCAATTATCTAGTTCTCATAATTTGCCATTCTTCTAAAAGAAAGGGAGATGATCAAACTGACTAAATAAAGATAAAAGTGAATTTGAAGAAATAACCTTCTAGCACAAAGAGATGTCCAGAGTTATTCTTTGAACTTTCACTAAGAAAGGAACGGAATCTACAGATAAATAGTTTCTCTTCTTCATACTCATATGAAGCCTCTATTTCTTTCAGTGAATAGAACCACTAAGCAGACCAGATGTAGTTAGGTAAATAAAAGAAGCATCTTCAAATGGTCTTTCATATTTTAGACAAACAGATTGTCCTATTTACATTCATAACTGAAGACATTTTCCTCCCTAAGACCGTTCATTTTATGATCTTCCTTATCTCAGCAAATGACACTTCCATTCACCCAGGTGTGCAAACCAGAAGTCCAACTTTTCATCCTGTCTTTTCACTCCCCTAGTCTAATGAATCATTAAGTCCTATTGATTTTAGTCCTAAAATAGCTCTTGAAACCACTTTTCTCAATCCACACTATGTTAGATTTAAACAAGATAATCTCTTACCTGGTTACAGCAACAGCAATTATTACTTGTTTTGCTCTAGCATAATCTATTCTCCAAACTAAAGCCAGAGCTATTTTTATGAAAGAAAATCTGATCTTGTCACTTTTTCCATTTTGAACTCAAATAGAAATTGCAAAATTTCCTATTTTCCTCTGAGTAGCTTACAAGACTCTTTATAATTTGGCCTCAGGTAACTCCTGCCAGATAACATGACTTGTAGTTAGCTAAAAGCGCTGAGCCTTTCCATGTGATAATCTCTCCTCTGGAAACACACTTCACTTTCCACTATTTCATCCTTCCCTGGAAAGTACCCCCCACCCCTACTCCACTGCAACTACAAACCTTCAATTAGCTAACTCCGGTCCCTTCTTCATGCTCCTGCTATCATCCTCCAGACAACGATCCCTGAACCAAGCTGGGTGGACGTCCCTACTAAGTGTCAACCCCCTCATTGCCTTCCTAGCTTGTTTATAGATCCTCCCTACATAGCAAGCTCTGTGCAACCAGGTTTCTTGTTATTCTTGCTATTTGCTTTATCTCTGGGGCTAGCACAAGTACTCAGAGCACAGAAGAGGTTCAGTCACTCTCACACTATAGCTGTATCAGAATCACCTAGGCAGTCTGTTAACTCAGATTACTGGGCCCACTACCACAGTCTTTTATTCTGTCTGGGGTGGCACCCAATGATTTATATTCCTAAAAGGTCCCAGATGATGCTCATTCTGCTGGTCCAGGAACCACATTTTGAGAACTACTGGAAGGAGACTAATGGAGAAGATGAACAACTTTTCTGTGTTGTTTCATTAAAACATTCCCTTTTCCTTTAAAAGTAACAATAGATACACATAGTTGACAGAGACTTTAGATTCCTTTTTCTGACAGTATTTTTTATTGTGGTAAAATAAACACATGTGATAACATAAAATTCACCATTTTAACCATTTTTAAGTGTACAGTTCAATTGTGTTAAGTACGTTCACAATGCTGTACAACCATCATCACATTTTAAATTTTTTAGTAAATAGTTTTTTCTAGTATGTTTGCCATAATGACATGAGGATATGAAAGTGACATTTGATTTAGAGTGGCATATATAGAAGCTACATTTTGTAAAATTCCCAGCACTATTATTTAATCAACATCTAAATATGTTACCTCTTGTGCTTCGTGGGCTATTAACTGGTCCATTAACAATTTCCGCCGTCTTTTCTCCCTTTGCTCTCGTGCAAAAGCATCTTCTTCTAGGCGTCTCTGGATTTTCTTAATGTACTCATCGTCCGAGTAAGTATTTAACAAATCGGTAGTTGTCTGGCCTGCTGTATCTAAAGAAGTCTTGGATGCACTAAGGACAATAGTTTTTATTTTTAAAAAATAATGTGATCACATGCCACTACTTGTGACTATGGAGAAAGACCTCAGGAGGAGGCTCCTTTGAGTTCTCTGTAATTTATTAATGCAAACATTGAAATAAATATTAGAACTCAGTGTGATACCCACAGCTTATCAATAGATGCCATTTGCTTCACTCCATTTCTGAACTCTATCTCTGCGAGGTCTTTAGCATAGCTTTCTTCCTAGGCCTATCACCTTTTTGTTCTTTTGCTTTTTATGACCTGCACTCTACCCAGAGATTCTGGATTTCTCTTCCTCTTCTTGCTGCTGGCTCTGGGCCTCTTGCCCTCACTATGTTGAGTCAACAGTAGGCAGACAACTGATAATTTAAGTATCAGGGAAGGCACAGCTCTACAACAGCAGGCCAGGAGCACTAATATTAGGTCACTTCTAGGGATGTTTCCATCTACTATCATTCTCCTCTCAACTATGAAAATGCAAGTTGCTCTATGAACTCCCAGATGGATTTCTAACTGCTTAGGACAGTGATTCAGCCTTGTTGGAAACTCAGCAGTTGAAAGATGACTTGCTTCTCATGCCACACTCACAAGCCCAGGTCTGACCTGGCTCCTTGCCCATATCCTAGAGACTCAAGTGAGAAGACCCACCTCAGAGCTCTTGTCCTACCTCATGGCCAAAGCTTAAGGACTAGGAAGAGGCTGTTAGTCTTCCCCCCAAAAAGTAAGCACATTCAATTTAGTGAGACAAATAGTAGCTTAGTACAGAATTTATAGATTCATTCAAAAGTTATCATTAAAATATAAGATATATTTTTATGAATATAAGGATTAAATAATCATCAATTCTCATCCGCATATTTCTTTGAAAAGTAAACACTATAACATTATAATAGCACAAGATACACCATAATGTTACTTGCCAAGAAATAATGAATTTTTATATTATGAATAATCATTGTTTTTATGCTATGAGTAGTTATGAATGTATTTGGTTTAGAATATAACTTATAATCTTATTCTAAAACAAGAACACATTATTAAAATGTATAGGGAATAAGTAGCCATGAGTTCTCATACAGACAGAATTGTTCTTGTAAAAGCATAATTAACTCATTTTTAATGATATAATAATTACATATTTATAATATGGATCATATTGGATTTTAGGTCATCATTTGTAGGTTTGCTGCTCCCAGTTAAACTCTGAGTTAATAAAAGAAATATACTATTTACCTCCTCTTAGTACCTATGCCTGACAAATAGTTGATGTCTACTAAATTTTAAATAATATGTGAAGGATCACTATACAAGTATAAAAGTCACACTCTAAAATTCTGATTATCTTATTAGCAGGGACTCAACCTTTGGTTCTATCCTTTTATTATTATTATTATTATTTTTAATTTTCTTTCTCTGCCATATACCAAGAGATTTGGTTCTATTCTGTCACTGAAAGGAGTTGAGCACAAATTGTATAGTTACCAAAGACTCCCTAAGGCCAAAGACAGAGTTTAACTGTCTATTTATTCATTAAGATTTAGCATTTAATTAGGCATTTACTTGTATGGAGTATCACTTTTAGATCATTTATCAAAATTCTTATTATACTTTTACTTAAGTGTGTTGTTTAAAAGATTCTGCCCTGGATTGAGCATGGGTTAATAGCTCTTTCAACATTGCACTTACGCTGTCAATAATATATTTAACACATTGCTTCTCATTTATCAGTCTATCCATCCATTCACCCACCCATCTGCTGTCATATTTCAATAAAGATATGAAGAAAATGTTTTAAATATTCTGATATTTACTTGAATAAACATTAATTTTATTAGCTGTGGGTTTCTTGAGGGCAGTGATTATATTTTCTTTATATCTATTTGCTTGCCAGACCTCCATAGAGGCTAGTAATTCAATGTGTATGAATTATTTATAAAAACCAAGGTCCGAAAAGCAGTTGCTAGGAAAAGCCTCAGAGAAATCAATTAATCCAAATGCCAAATTACAGCTGACAATAACCTCAGCTAAATAAACAAATAAGCAATAAATAGTATTTATTGTTTAAAAAGTAAAAAAACTGGAGAAACTTTGTTACATGTAGGGGATAAAAGTAGCCACAGGAGCCCTTGTGTTGCCAGCATTGAGACATCGTATCATTCTTCCACGAAAGAAAGAAGGCAGAGTTTGAGGTGACATCCTTGAGGAACTGTTCAGGAGCAAGCTGTAAAAGAGACAGCTGCAGAAAGTTCTGCTCAGGTTCAAGTTGTAAGAAGATGTTAGTGCTTTCTGGCATCAAGTTAGTGTAAAGTTTCTCAATGAGCCCAGAAAATTCTTGATTCTAAGCTAAGAATTCAGAATGAACTAAAAAAGCAGTGATTAATAAAGGGGCTCAAGAAAGGCCATATCATACCCTTAACCTTTGTTTTCCTTAAAAGTTTGTTCTAGACCAGTGTGTCCCAACATTTTTCTTTTTCAGGCCATCAGAGAAAATTATCTTCGTGCAACACACTGTAAGGAATTTAGAATCTCAGAGGAGGCTGCTCACAGCCAGAAGTGACTGGCCCAGGGATTTCAGCTGTCCCAGGTCCCATCCTGTTGCCCTGAGAAGTGAGGGTGTCAATATCTCATTCATTTCTATTACATGAAACAGAAGCAAACTTCGGAATCAATCCATTGTGGTCTCGGGTTTCTAAAGCTAACTGAAAGAAACCTAGGGTCAGGCTGGGTTGGCAAAGGCCATAGGAAGCAGGGCAAATGTCTGCAACTGTATTGTGTAGGGATAATCTTTAAAACATTTAGTAAATGATATGGAAAAGACACTAATCAACTGAATAGATACTGGGATACAGGGCTTAGAAGACACTGCTGTCCTTGGTGTTGACTCTGGTTGCTTCATTATGTGCAACTTAAGGGTCCCAGGAAAGGGGCTTACTGAGGATTTACAGAGAACAGCGTTCACCAACAAACGTTAATAAAAAGTGTTTCAATAATTTAAGATGGTCGTTCTGGGAGACACCATCTGTTTATCACCACAGAGCATGTGGCTGGTGAAGTAAATGAAAGAGTTAGAAGAACTCAGGTGGTTTCACAGGCCAAGGTCAGGGTGGGAGTGGTAGGGTTTGGGTGGTGGCACCCATGGATGAGTAGACTTGGATTATATTGTTTTTAGGTGTCAGGAGCAATGCTGATAAATGGGAGTGGGGGGCAGTATGCCATCTGGAGTTTCTGCAGAGGGCAGGAAGAAAGGTAATGTCCATATGTAGTCTCCAGTTTGCTTGATGTTCCTTCCACACCTGACTTCTTCACCATTTCTTTCTTGTGTCTTTTTCTTTTCCTCGTTTGACTATATTTTGCCCTTCTTTCAGAAAATATTAATATGGAATTGAAGTATATAATGTGTTTCTGATTTTCTTCTTTAGAATTAGTGTATCTTCCTTAACATATATTTATTTCATATGCCATAAGACATCAATAAGTAGAATTTGCATCATTTCCATTTAAAAATGTCAAAAAACCAGAGTTATTCCTACATATATAGTCTCTAAGGGATTATTTTCTGAATCAATGACCTCTAATAGGACACAAAGCAGTAAGGGATCTTTATCTTTAGGCAAATGAAGCCCATTAACTAGATACTTTTGCAATAAACTCATCAAACTGGCTGTCTTAGTGACATTTGGTCAACAAACTCATTCAACAACCCCTTCCTGCTGGCCACTGTAGTAAATGCTGAGGGTACAGCGTGAGAGAAACCAAACTAGAATCTAATAAAGGCTTTACTATGACAAATTTAAATTAGTGGTATATTGAAAAAATTTTGGTAATGTTTAAAAATGTGTATGAACTTAGAAGAATAAGCATAGCATAGATAAACAATTTCACATTTCATAATAACAACTTTCTCTCTAGATCTTTATAAATGTTGTTAAAAAACAATATGAATTTTAGCTCATTTATCTTCCCTCATATACTCTGAGTAAATATTCTCTAAATTAAAAAGATCCTTGAAATAGCTATTCCAGATAAACTATTTCTAAATATTAAAAAGCTATATATAGAACAGAATTCAGTTATGTAATTATTAAAAGAGTTCACATCCCACCTTTCTTTTGCCTGGAGATCCTTTTTTATTAATGCTTCAAACTTCTTAATTTCGTTGGCCACATCCTTTAAAGAAAATTCATCATCAGTTATATTCCTCTAAAAGGTATCGAAAATCTCCATTTACCATAGTTCATTCAAGTTTATAAGGTGAAATGTACTACTGATTCAAGATAATTAGGAGCCAAATATTAAAAGCTGCATTCTAGAATATTTTTATAATTTTGATTTTTTTTTTGACTGGGATGACTATACATAAAAGAATATGAAAACTGCCTAACCTGAATCAGTTCACGATTCTAACTCTAATAGTGCGCCAAGAGGCATCTAATGAGAGTGAAGATTATCAAAGAATCAGAACATGCGTTTTCTAGATATAAACATTTCTTTAAAAATTGCTATCTCAGGTGTTTTAAATATTCCTCATGCAACCTTACCTACATTATTAATTTGTTCTTTGAAAATAGCAGTGGCTCATCCTTGTGTATTACAAATTCTTATTAATAAACTTTAATTGACTCAGAGACATATGAAAGTTAAATATTAAAATGGGATCAGAAAAAAGGTCTGGGTAGTACTTTATAGAATTTAAGGACAGGATATTTTGTTAGTACTAAAAAAACAAAGAAACTGTGGATTAATATAATGCAATGGATTTAGGACTCAGATCTGTCAATCTCTGCTTTATAAGCACTGTGAATTTGAGTAAAAGATGTCAGCATTTTGGGTCTCAGTTTCTTTATCTACAAAATGGGGACAATAATACTTTACTTAGAGAGTTATTAACAAGTTAACAATAATGTGAAGTACTCAACCCACAGCCTGACATGTAATACATACTCAATAAATGGTAGATATTAATCCTCTTCTTAGGTTGCACTAGAGAATACCAACAATCACTGCAGCCATAAGCAGTGTAGATTGTAGGAATTAGTACCGAAATGTAGTATTGTTCCCCTATAAAATATACTTAGATTGCATCCTATTGGAATGATTGACAGCTGTTATGGTCTAATAAAATATGACTAGTGTAGGTAATCTTAAATTTAAATATACTGATAGCAACAAGTCACTTAACATTTCTGGGACTCAGAAAAATAGTGCTGCATGATGAGAAGGAATTGAGTAAAAACATACAGTAGGAATGATATATATAGAGTATGTGCACTTTGGCCTCTGCTGTACCCATAGCAGTTATGACCCATTACAACAGCATCTATTCTGACCTAGTTTTTTAGAGACCACAGAATCCTTCTCAACATGGGAGTCCAGACTAGTGCTGCCATTTAATAGGAGTTTGCCATCGCGAACCTTAAGCTACATTTTTTGTTTCTGAACAAATAACAGTATAGAATAGATTGGGCATGCATAGAGCAGAGGAGTTTTGAATGAGAAGAGAGAAGGCCAGAGATAATTTGAGGCAGTGAGAAGTTTTGGAAAGTCTCCCTATGTTTTGGAGAAAGACCATCCTTTGATTAAGATAAACACAACACAATATTAAAGAATTATCACTTACCTCTGCCTCTTTTTTCTTTTTCATCATTTTTTGTACCTCAAGTGCTTTCACAGTACAATTTGATGTAGGTTTAGGAATCTGTATGATGGCTGCTTGGATTTGGGCCATTATTTCATTTTGTCGTCTTCTGCTTACACGTTGCTGAGTATCCCAAATACATTAGTTTAGTATTCAGTTTGTCAGAATAATAGGCAATGCTATACACTCATAGATATACATACATATAATTTTTCTATTGAAATATTTAGAACCTAGCAATTAACCAATGAACTAGGTGTCACAATTGTGTAATGTTAAGAAGCAGGTATCAATATGACCTATTTTGGAAAGTGTAGTGTTAGAACACAATTTTAGAATCCCTAAATTATTCCTATCAAATATCTGTATTTTCACCCTGTGTGATGATACAAAAAGGATAATAAAGATGTTCCAAATACAAAGAAGAGTATAATTGTTTCCCACTTCCACCTTTATGACCTGACCAATCAAGGGAAGAGAAAATTCCATCTCTGAAGGTGGTCTGAAGACCAATTCTATCTAGGAGACAGCTTCTAGGAAGGTCTCTGGGGAACACAATAGAAATGACAAGGTCCCTCAAAACCCAGTCACACTTAAACAATGAGTTCAAGAGCTACCTCAAACATTTAATCAATACTACATTATATATCACTATTGGACTATTTCTTCTGTATCTAGGAAGTAATTATTTTATAAAAAATATAAGCAGGAAGACATAATGAAAGGGGAAAAAATACCTGAAAAATCAAATGAAATATCTTAAAAATAAATTATTTAAGAGGTAATATGTAAAACTAATCAAGACTTTACCACTAAAGCATTGTATTGGAACTAAAAAGATCCTTAGTTCCTATGTCCAAAGATAAGAAACTTCAATTTACCATTAAAGAGGCAAAAATAATAGATAATTTAAAATTTTTCATTTCATTTTTCAAAATGTCAATTTTTATCTAACTGCAATATGTTCACCTCTTTTTATTAAGAAAATCAGGCAGACATAGGCTCTCCCTTTTGCCCCATTTGCTTCCTATGATCATTTTTAACAGTTTATTTCAGAATATTTTATGGTGTCATATTTCCTTTTTTCCAGCTTTTTTTGGAGACTTTCCACATTAGACTTAGTACATCAAAGGTAGACAGGCTACTTCCATATAAATTAGATTCCTAGCACTTGGTCTTGACTTAAACAGTACTTTAAGAATAGTTTGTCTCTTTACCATGCAATGTCAAAGGGAAGAACAATCCTTTATTCACTCTGGCAAGTAATAGAATCGTGAGATCTTCCAGAGTTTGTCTTTCAACTTTTCTTCCTTCCCTACAAAGAGCTGATGATATTCATTCAGCATATGTTAATTTATTATCATGCTAAATGTGTGAAGTTAAAAAGTGATTTTACAGTGCAATGGGAAAAACAATAATTCTTTTGCCTGTAATTTACACATTCCATATACCTAGTCACCTGAAATTCTCTTAAAAGTCTTTAATGATTCCATGCACCATTGTCCTTCCATGCCATTAAAGTGACAAGAGATCATTAAAGATTTTTAAAGAAATTTAAGAAGCAATGATTTCAATCCAGTACTGAGATACTCAAAGCAAGAAGCAAGGGCCAGGAAGAAGAATTGTCCAAGGTGGTTGAGAAGGCAAGCAAGCATAGAATTACCCATTTCCACAAAGAAAGAAGTGAAGCAGAATAGAAAGGCTGAGGGGCTAAAAGAAAGGGAAATGTCTGCTTGTCTCCCTCAGTGGTGACAATGGGCATGAGCCTTCGATCAATGGGAAAGCTGGTAGCACCCCATCACTTAAACAGCTGAAACATTGATTCCTACCAGTGAAAGAGACCAAGCTGTCTTGCCACTCCACAGAATGGCAGTTCTTGTTCTTAGCCACAAGCAGATGTGACAGTCAGCAAAAGCGGGGATGGAGAGAAGAGGAAAATGGAAGTAGAGAAAGGGTGAGGGGAGGGGAGGGCAAAGTCATGCATCAAGCAAGTTAACCTTGTACTACAGTACTGCTTATGCAATGTGTAATATAGGCATAAATCACAAACAGCATATATATTATGCACAAATGAATTTCTGAAAAAATTATTCTGTAAAACCTTTTCAATTTTAAAACATCTTTGTTCTTCCTGGAGTTTTTGAAATCTTTCAAGTTGCTGAGAATGCACATAGTCAAGATCTTCTTTCATGTGTTTATGTTTTTCTTGAAACCTGTATGTAACCCGCATCAGATTGAAATCAGTTTGACGTGGTATCAGGTTTTTAAGTCTCTAAATGAAGAAAGCATTTCAAAAGATTTTATTAGAAAATAAAGCATATCTTGTCATTACAAGTACACATAAAATTTGTCTTCAAAATAAAAATTTCTATGAATTACCATTGTTGACAGTTAAAATAAATTCAAGCCCCTACCAATTACTCATATCCTTAATTGATGTGAGGACAATAAAAAAATTATTTGAATTCCTTCTTACAAAATAGTTTCATATATACTTTTATAGTTGATGTTTCCCCTGAGCTTAATTTTCAATAAATGATATTTGCATTCTTAGAAACACATTTTCACAAAAATAATTTCGTGAAACCATTTTCAACATATAAGAGATAAGAAGATAGATTCTTCCCATTACTTAAGTCATTGCCTAGTAAAAAGTGAAAAAATATTAAAACCTCCTATGTTTGAGTTTCAGCTCTACCACCTACTAGTTGCATAAAATTAAGGAAGTTACCTAATCCATCTGTGCCTCAGTTTCATTGTCTATAAAATGTGAGTAATAAAAGTATCTATCTCATAGAGCAGCTTTGAAGATCAAATTGGATAATATTCATAAAGCACCCGGAACAGGGATTGGCACATCACTATGTACATTCAATAAATTTCAGCCATTATTAATATTGTTATAGATGCCTGTATCTCTTCCTATCTGGTGTCTAAGAAAAAGGCATCTCTACTTCTTTCCTAAGATATCTCTTCTACCACACAAGCCATTGATTGCATCTTCCTCTTTTCTTCCCTAGAGGATCTCTTTCCATTTGATTTTATACCATTTTCATTTTCCTTCCACTAATTATTTTTCTCAACTGACAAGTTTTCCTAGACTCTATGTTCATAAAGCAAACAATCTCACACTTCCCTTGAGCTTCTCTCTCCTCAACTACTGTTCTTATTTTCTCTTTTCATTTGCCTCCATGTTTCTTGAAAGAATAATCTATTCTCTTCTATTCCTCATCTCCAATTTCCTCCTTAACTCACTGCAACCATACCAGTCTAATGAAACATTTTTCTCATTCTGAAATGTAAGTTTTAAGAGAGTTAGGGCTTTTGTCTTTTTTATTGTGCAAATGCTTCACATAAAGTATGAGCCTAATAAATACGTGTTTAATTGATGAATGATTGATTCTGGAAGGTCTCCAATGACCAATGTTAAACTTAATGGGCTCTCATTTGTCCTCATCTATGCAGCTCTTATAGCATTTGTCACTGTTTACTGCTTCACAGTTTATTGCATATTATATACTGTCTTCTTGAAGCTACAAAAGCCCAACTCTGAGGCAGGTAGTGATAACCAACCATCCTTATTTTTACAGTTGGGAAAACTCAAGCTGAGTTCAGAGCCTGGCCCAAAGATAACCAGTTTGCAAGTGAAGGAGGCAGGATGCAATACTAAATTACTCAGATGTAAGCCTAATCTGATTGCTAGCTCTCCATGAGTGCTGAGTCCATTCAGCCTCATAAGGATGTTTATTAAGAATGGACAAATCTGAAAATGGAGATGGCTCTCACATCTATTGTGCCATTGTTGCTTCACAAATTAAATTTAAAAATTTAATTTTCTCCATTTCTATGTAGTGTTTTGCATCAGTACAGCATTCATTATTATCCCAGAGGCCTAGAGGCCTAGAAAAGTTAATGCACTCCTATTACCATAAGGAGATCAAATAGGAACTGGCATTATCAACTAAAAAGTTATATCAATTAATCAAAACACATTTAATTAGTATTTATAACATTCAAAGCACTAGACATATTTCTCAAATTTGAGGTACCAAAATTCTTATGAGATCATATGACAAATAAAAAGTGAGCAGTTAACAAACAATATCAGCATAAGGAGGTTAACACCTAGAGAGTGAGAATTATCTCTGCCGTAAGAGTTCCAAAGGAAGAATCCATGTGTACTGGGCTGCACAGAAGTACACAGAGAAGAAAATTTGGGGGAAGAGGAGAGATGAGAAAGTGAGTTTGAGTGGGAGGGGAGGAAGAGAGGAATATACAAATCATAATCAAGGATACACTGTCAATCAATGTAGAAGGATACTGAGGAATAAAAAGAAGTAAAAGAGAAGGTTTCTAAGCAGAAGAACTCAATGAAAGTGGAATATAGAGAAGATTCATCTAGCAGTTGCTTTACCTATAGCAGAAAGCGTAGATTGGGAGACATGTTAGCAGGTTGCTGTAGTAGCTCATAAGGAGATTTGAGCAAATATGATAGATTAGAAATGGAAAGAGAGGAGCAGGCACAAAAAGGCCTGGGAATTCAGAACAGAGTTTGATAAGCTATTGGCAATATGGCTAAGTTGGAGAGAGACATCAAAGATGGATAACTGAATTAAGCCAAGTATGGCCAGCAACATACATACCCAACGTGGTTTCCCTGAGAATGCAGCATTACTGTTGCTTCTCCTTACCAAGACTTACATTGTGACATGCTTATTATACTTCTTCATGTACCTACCTCTCGAAAAGAATCACTTTTCATGTTTTGAAGTCTTAAGTTTGTCAGGGGTTGCATTGTTTGCATTTCCATTCCAGTTAGTCCACTTTTCTTCTTTTTCTGGAGAGCAGTGTACAATTGATATAAAAGTTTTGTTGCTGCCCCAGGCTTTTCTGTGATGATGCTATGGGCCACATTCTGATCAAACTGCACACCCAGGAGGTGAAGTGTTGGCTCCAAGCGAGAAAAATTATTAAGTTTGACACTTGAAACCCTGGGCATTAAAATATTTTATATAATTAGACACTAGCATTGAATTAAAAGCAACAAATATCAGAGATATTCTCATGACCCAATATTTAAATGTATCATTTCTCTCTAAAACCACTCAATGATATAAATATGTTGAGATATTTTATTGTCCATGTCTACCTTAACTCCATGTATTTATTTCTCCTGAATGGTTATACTAAAATTCATTAATTTTATATACTTTTCTGCTCTAAATTGACAATAGAATTTATACAGTAAGTCAATATAAAAGCAGATAACCAAATGCCTTCTTCTCAATGGACAAATCTAATTATGGTTTTGAAAAATATTTTACTCAGAAGGCAAAATTGCAATTTAAATGTATATTTATTTAAATGATATTATTGCTAGACCCTGCAAGTAGTCCTAAATATTGCATTGACAATTCTAACAATGATCTTTTCTGTATCAGTAATGGTTAATGACCATAATTATGTAATCTTCAGCATACAGTTTATATATTATATATTGCTATATTTTATACTTTAAAAATCAATAAAGACTTTCTAATTAGAAGTTATGTTTATTCTTGAATGGTCTATTATCATATTATATACACAATTTAGAAGAAATTTATTTATTTATTTGCTCTATCAACTAACAAACATTTATTAAATACTTATTATGTGCCAAGGATTCATCTATTCATTAAATTTAATACATTTTTATAAATTTACTTAAGTGTAACAAAGATGAATAAGAAGCAGTCCCAAGCTTGGCATGGTGGTGCACACCTGCAGTGTCAGCTACTCGGGAAGCTGAAATGGGAGGACTGCTTGAGTCCAAGAGTTTGAGTCTAGTCTGGGGAACACAGTAAGACACTATCTCTAAAAAAAGAAAAAATTAAAAAAAAAAAAATGACAGTCTTTGCCATTGAGGAATTCATAGTTTATGGTAAAACAAGATGAGTAAACAAGTAGTAATTAATTGAGATAGGTGTTTTAATAGACATTTAATAGGTGTTTCAATGATCTAGGACTGTTAATAATCCTACAAATCTAATGACAGATTGAAGGCAAAAGATGCTGAATGCATTTTTCAACTCTTGTGCCTCTTAATAATCAAACTGGATACAAATACCAATTTTTTCTATTAGCTTCTTTTCTACTTACTTTAACTTGTAACAGTCAGTGATATTCTTCAATGGAAAACAGTACTTAAATATAAGACAAAGTCCTACCTTTCCCACATCAAAAAACGATACCTCAGACCAGATGAAGTTGCCATATATTTGCATGCTTGAAGAATTTCTAACATTACAGGAGCATTCACTCAGTTACTTAATTTTGGAAGGCAGCTATGCTCACTACTATACCACTAATGCTGCTCAGCCGTTACTTAATTTTGGATTATAAAATTATTTGGGGATGATACAAGGACTTTCAATGACCTAAATTACCTTTTTAGAAGCTTATAGAGATCACTTAAAACCTAAACTTGATATACTGTTCCTAGTACATTACTTCTTAAGAGATTTGCTTTCAGGTAGTGGTTCTAAATTATTTTTTAATCACAGATATCTTTGAAAATCTGAAAGCTATAGAACCTTTACCACAGGGGGAAAAATACCCATCTATACATATACACAAAATGTGAATAACATTTTAGAGTGTTCTTGAGCATCCTATAATCTAGCCTACAAGTACCCATGCTCTAAAGGGAGGTAGGGCTGGGGAAATATAGGAGTGACTTCTAAACATGAATGAGGCACCAGCATCATGAGAAGGTCCATATCAACAAAAAAGTAGTAATGCAATATCTTCCGAATTCATTTTCCAATCTTATGGTATAATTTATTCTATTTCCCCTGCATGCTGTTACTCTTTTAACAGAAGTATTCAGTAATATATATTTAGCATATTACACTACATCACCTAAACTTTGAGTAAAATAGTAAAATGTTTTAAATGAATAAAAGAAAAACAGGCCTTGGAGGGGAAGAAGAGATAATGCATGCTACAAGGAAATTTCAGTAATAAGAGTAAACTTTTTTTTTAGGTCTTCTCATGTCCAGTTTTGCAATTTGCTTCTCAACAAATAATCTTACATTTGAGATAACAAACATTTGTTCAAAATGACCCAGGCAAAGCAGACAATGTTTTGAAGAGTATGATAATAAAAAAGATAGTCAGATAAATCGCATGCGATTCCATTCTTTGGACAGGCACCAGACACTCCTTTTGATCTATCACAATTGTTCTCGCATGCCCTTCCCATGCTGGGAGTCCCATGCGTCTTGCTGACTACACATATTTGGAAAGATATGGACTGATAGCCACCTGTCAGAGCTTTGGCCTGCATCATAACTTTGGGCTGCAGAGGTTAGGGGTACCCTAATTTGGGAGGGAGAATACAAAAGCAAACATTACCCATTTCCAAATTTTGTCAAAGCTTAGCTCTACACCTAAGAAAAGGGGAAAACACTTACCCTCCCTTCGCTTTTATTATGTGACTGCCAGAATGCAGTGTAAGCCTATTAGTTACAGTTCAGTTACCGATTAGGTTTTAAAATGTCTTCCTTCTTAGGGAGAGGCAAAGATATACAATGTAACCAAAATGTAAAAAAAACCCACTTTTATCAGGTGGTGGGCAGGCGGGAGGGGGGAGGAGGAGAAGGGTGTATACTTACATAATGTGTGGGGTGCGCACCACCTGGGGATTGGACACACTTGAAGCTCTGTCATGTGTGGGGATGAGGGGTGGCAGGGGCAATATATGTAACCCTAACAATATTTGTACCCCCATAATATGATGAAATAAAAGGAAAAAAATGTCTTCTATGAACTGGCCAAAGTATCCAGGTATAACAATCCTTCTCTCTAGAAGTTTCTCTGTATATTCCTAATTTTTAATCAATCAAAACTTGGGGAAAAGAATTTGTGTATATGTACAAAGTCAGAATAACAGGATAATCAACAGTTGTTTTTTCTTTTTCTTTCTTTCTTTTTTTTTTTTTTTGAGACAGAGTCTCACTCTGTTGCCCAGGCTAGAGTGAGTGCCATGGCGTCAGCCTAGCTCACAGCAACCTCAAAATCCTGGGCTCAGGCGATCCTCCTGTCTCAGCCTCCCAAGTAGCTGGGATTACAGGCATGTGCCACCATGCCTGGCTAATTTTTTGTATATATATTTTTAGTTGTCCAATTAATTTCTTTCTATTTTTAGTAGAGACGGGGTCTTGCTCAGGCTGGTTTTGAACTCCTGACCTCGAGCAATCCGCCCGCCTCAGCCTCCCAGAGTGCTAGGATTACAGGCGTGAGCCACCGCGCCCGGCTCAACAGTTGTTTTTGAACACAGAAAAACCACTGGGACACCTTTGCTCTGGAGACAGTGCATCTGATGTAAATGATGGCCTCTGAGGGAATAAAAAACGTATTCTGGGAAAAGTTTTCTCCCTCTCTACTTGTAGTTCTTATTTGCCAAGGGACTACCTCTCTCCTTTCCTCCTTGCCACCTGGTGAGGGAATATATCTTCTTGCAAGGTAAGTAGGAGCTGCCCCCCCACGGATATTCTTTCTTGTTTAGTTTTTTCTTTTAACTAATCCGCTCAATTTTCACCCTTTCGGGAGGACTAAAAATATTCTAAAACAGAAAATTCTTTCAGAGTCAGATGAATTATTAGAATTAAGTCATTTCAAAGAGAATAACTTCAAGTTATTAGCAACATATAGCTTACAGTTTACATTTTAGACTAAAGAAACTAAATATATTAGATAAGCTCCCCAAATCATAAGTTCTGGCACCAGATAATTGTCTAAAAATTAGGCTTTGAGCAAAAAAAAAAAAAGGATTCTTCTCCCTATCAAATACATTATTATAAAGGTCATACCCATGGATTTACTGATCCCTTCCTTATTTAAAAGAGCATATACCCTGTGGAAAAATGAGTTTTTCCAAGAATTGAAGATGGATGCTATTTGGTCATCAGTACAAATAGACCCTCTCCTCATGTTAAGGGATGCAATGACTTTCAGCCAGAGAGAAAGTGAGTCCTTTGCAGTGGTTGACAAGCAGGGCTGTCACAGGACACACATCTTCCCAAAGGTGGGGCAAAAGTATGAAATCTGCCCTGTGCTCAGCCTGCTAAATCCTGTCTTTGGCATGAGACTGCTTCATCCAAAATAGGAATCCTTTTTCTTGTACAAATGCCTCTCTGTTTACCAAGACCTGTATCTTCACAATTATGTCCATCCAGATGGGGACCCTTTTTAAATATTTCACACAAAGGCCCTCTGTGGGCCCTGCCAACAAGAGCCAATTTAGTACACCTGAAATACTGCATGAGTGATCTAGTCATTATGGTCCTTTAATTTTTCTACGGCTAAACGGGTATACTTTCTGAACTCATTCATTTTTTCATTAGGGAAACAATATTGTAAGTCTGGTACAGGCCAAGGCAATGCTTGGAGCACAAAGAATAAACACACTCTGCAATTTTCAGGATCTTTGCTATCTAGTTGAGGAGTAAACATTTATTTACTCATGCATCAAAAATTGTTTGGGCTCCTTCATGTGGCAGACACTCTGATAAGAACTGATATATAAATGAAAAATTATAACTTACTATGATAAGGAAAGAGATGTTCAAAGTGTTATTAGAACAAAAAGAAAAGGGAGACTAAATCTGTTAGGGGAGTAAAAGAAGTGGTTAGAGGAGGGGTGGGGTTTTAGCTGGCTCTTAAGCATGAATAAGGTATTGAAAGAAAAAGACAACTAATCAAGAATTCTATATCTGATAAAACTATAAATCAACTTGAGGTATAAACAAAAACTAAGACAATTCGTTGTCAGCATGTCTACCATATAAGAAATAATAAAGGGAGTCCTTAAGGCCTAAATGAAAGGACACTAAACAGTAACTCAAATTACAAGAAGAAACAAAGCTTCTTCTATACCAGTAGAAGTAATTACATAAAGAAATACAAAAGACAGTTTAAATGTATCTTTGTTTGTAACTATTTTATTCTCCTATCTGATTTAAAAGCAATAACTATAAAACTGAGTTGATGGGCTTAAGATATAATTTTAAGTTTTAAAACATGTTCTATTTTATAGTTTTAAAACACAAAGGATAATACTAATTGGCCAGCCAGAGAACTATATGTCATTTCACTTCTCTTAAAAGAAGGAACAATTAACAAAAGAGGAAGTAATCTGATCTAAATTTGCAGAAATACTAAAAATAGTAAAATCAGTCCCATCTAGAGATGAGGTCTACTGCAACCATATAACTTTCTCTCCTTATACTCTTTGGACAATAAGAGTGTACACGTGAGAAAGCAACAATTTCTATACCAATGGTCTGCTTGGCCGGTTTGGGTTTGGAAGGGATCTTATGATTGATGATTCTTTAAAGTTAACTTTGGACTTTCCAAATACCAAAGGAATTAACATTTTTAAAAAGTAAGGAATAATCTCACTAACCTGCTTTCTGAAAATTCTGAAAAATCATCCTGAAGTTCAAACTTGTTCAGAACTTCTCCAATTAGATAGCCACTGGAAAATAACTTTGCAAATGACTTGGGACCTAAATTTTAAAACATTGAGATATAAAAGTGAGTATAATGTTGCACATAGAGCTAATGTATTCTCATTATGTATACAGAGAGTCAAAACTCCATAATTTACTTGAACTCAAAATGCCATAATATATATTTTAAAAACATTTTAATGACCAAAAAATTTGAAATTTAACAGTAGAGATCTTATAAAGATCCCCAAATAATTGTAACACAATAACTGATGACATACAAAATTTTGAAAGAAAGACACCCTCTGACAAAAAATTAAACAAAACACAATCAATAAAATTTATAAATAACTTTAGATCTAAAAGCAAGTTTTTAGAGTAAACAATGCTTTTGTCTATGGATCACTTTAGCAACAAGTAAAGAAATGAAACTTTTATAAGCTCAAGGAAAATGAAAGCTTCCAATCACCTAAACTTGCGTTCAGCTATAGTTCATGTAAGAGACAAGCTGCATGTATTCTTAAGGTCTAGAATCTGGCATCTGTTAGTGGATTTATCAAGCTTTTTCATGAGCAGAACAGTTTTATCATTATTTTAAAACTATAGGGTAGAATGATGATCTCACTCTAAAAACATGATACATTTTTTCAGAATTGATGGTTTGATGCCCTTCCTTACCAGTCAGATCTGTCCTTCCAAAGCTATGTCTTCATGTGAAACACTGATGCCACCCTTGAGAAAATATACTTAGGGAACAGGTACTAACTACCCCCTGAAGCCTCCAGTAGGAGAATTTGGAATTCATGGCATATACCAGCTTTATAACTCAGCTAGCTCGGTTGTGCCTGGAAACACCATGTAACACAAGTTAAATTTGTACTTCATAACCAAGACACCAAACTGTCCTGACTTTAACATGGCATCACCTGAATATCATAATGCCTTGTCATGCTACTAAAATGAGCAGGATTGGCTTGATCTTATATTAAATGCCATCCGTTATTCAGCAAGTGTCTTCTCGCATCATACCTTTGTAGTCTTTAAAGCAACTGAAACCCAGATGACTCCTTCTGCCTCCAAAGGGCCAGGAGTGTGCCATCACCTCCTTCCATGTCACTGCTGCTTTCTCCTTTCCTTGCAGACCCCAATGCTGTGCTTGCTCTAACTGCCACCACTGCCCTCAAGGTGCCACCTGGGCTACTCTGGCTATGTCTTCCACCTCTTCTAACTGTTGTTTCCTTCTTTCTGCTCTTTTCCCTTACCTCTTCCCTAACCCATCCCTTTCTTGTCTTAGTTTTCTAAAGAGCCATTTGACATACAGCCATTGTTAGTCTATGGATGTATCTGTTTTTCTGGTCCTATGCCACCGAACTCTTGGCTCGGTTTTTGGCTTATTGCTTTCTATTCAAGGGCTGTTGCTATGTCACCTTCAGGTAATCTCATTCCCTTCCTACCTCCCTCCGGAGTTTGTACTGTACCTGTTGTTCATGTTGACTGAATGCCTGAAGTCCTAACCCATGAATAACTGAGGAATAACTGAATCCTATTGCGTCATCCTCAATGTAGTAGATAAATGGTCTGTTGCAAGGCTAAAGAAAGGTCACTAGAATAATAAAATCATAACCCACTTTCTTTGAAATGGCTTGGCATATAAGTAAGGCAATTCTGACATGGATTAAATAGAGGTGTTAGCATGGTATTGTATAAAGGTCAAAGAAGGCAAATAAACACGTATTTCATTGTCAGAGTAGTTTAAAACAAATAAACAAGTACAAAAACATTTGTTTACAGATTTTTATGCACAAAACATTTCAAATTTACTGTGTTCTATGTCAGCAGAAAAGAGAACAATGAGTGAAGAACATACAAATGACAAGAGCAACAAAGGAGAGATTTAGAGGGGAAAAAAGAAAAAAGAATAAATTTGAGAAATTATATAAGAAAAACTGAAGAAAAAGTATATAAGCTAGGACTATACAGATTGTAAAGTATAAAATGAGATGATATTAATAGATAAGAAGCAAGAGGAAGGAAGAGGGTGATGAGGAGAGAGAAATAGTGAGAAAAGAAGAAAAAGCAAGGAAAAGTTTATTTTTCCCCTTTAATTTATCATGTTTATCTTCCCACTAAATGTCACTGATTACTGTGACTAATTTCATAACGCCTACCTCCATAAGTTAATTTGCACTAACAATTGAAATTTTCTACGGGGAAAAAGAGGCGGGTTGATACCAGGACAAGGAACAATGAATGAACATGAGAAATAAATGAACCGTGGGAGCACAATGACAATCTTCATGCTGAGCCCCAAATGATTTACATCTGGGAAAAATGTTAGCAACAACTCGACCCTCCCTCCAATTTTTCAAGCCACATGTCTGGTCTCTAACACTAAAGTTTTTTCTTTTGCTAAAATCCTTGATATGGGCCTCTGTGGTGGGTCTATGTTACACTGGGACAGCAGGTTAAATGGTCTACGTGCTTCTCCATCAAAATGGCCCTGAGACAGCTGGAGAAAGCAAGCACAGAAAGCCATCTACATACCAAAATGATAAAGAGGAGAGCACAGGCTCTGGAGAAAGATTCTCTGGCTCCTTGCTCATTTGCAAACCACTTTACCTTGGGCAATTATATAGCCATAATTTTCTCACCTACAGAAGAGGGAGAGTGACAGGCTTTACTGCATAAGAATTTTAAGAATTAAATGAGATACTGTGTGTAAAGTGCTTAGCATAACATCTGGTCTATAGTAAGGGCTCAGTGATAATTTTCATTATTATAATCACTGTCTTCTAATTCAAGAAAACAGGTCATGTTAATTAAAGAATTTGTAATTAATAATAGATCCTCAATGATTACAGTACAGATATTCTTGTCTGAAATGTAATTCAGAACTCAGAAACCAAATATATGATGCTGCCCTTAAATTCAGATACAGCCCCACTCTTTGGGACAGATAGACTATAACACCCCTACCAATCTGGGGAGGCTCCTGTAATCAAACACAGTTGATTTCTACAGCAAAATATTTAAACATTCACACTCAGTGAAATAAATAAACAGCCTTACAGAATTTCTGGTCAGATTTTGCTGCCAAATGAATAATGGACAAACATTTAGTTTTCAGAGATTTGGGGACCTTTTAGATAAGGGGCTGCAGACCTATGCCATTCAGTGCTCAGTGGCCTTTGCTCCTCCTTTACCAGAGGAGCTGAGACCTAGCCTGTGTTATCAGCTACATTTGAAAAGCCAAGAAAATTTACTTTCATTTGAGAAAAACAACTGCTGGTGACTGGGAACTGGCCTGGCTCTATCAGGCCGTGGTGTTCCTAGGAGCTGGCCAGGCGCTCACAAAGAGGCCTTGGCATTTTCTTCTTGAACATAATCAATTTCACAGCACACCAACTTCAGACAAGGCTACTCTGTGACCCTGATAGATCAAAACAGAAACAAAATCCCTCTGTAATCATGTCCAAGCTCAGACAAAAACAAGAATATTGTCCAAAACACAAAAATGACCAAACATGCCCATATTGTGGCTATTAAGAGTGATTGCTGCTTCTTTACCAACAATGGCTTTGCCTTGTTATATTCTGCCACCCTTTAGCTAAATTTTGTTAAGATATCCAAGTGATAGAATTGCCTACACTTCTTGACAGGATTCAATTCAGAGCAAAGCACCACTTCCTGGAACCCTCCTCAAAATACACCTAACACAAGCCCAAGCCCTTTCTAACACCTTTGTACTGAGATGCCCCACAGTCCCCATGGTATGTTGTCTCTCTTGTTCAACAAATCAATAAATCTTTTTCATGTGAAGGTTGACCTCCTCTTTTGATCTTTTTTTCATTTTTAATGCTATATTAAATTTTCTTTTCAAACTACGAAGCCAATAGGAGCAACAAGCCAGATAACAGAGAAAAATAAAGAAAAGCTAGCAATCTCCCCCTTCCCCAGGGTAATGGATACCCACATACTTGTTTATATCCTTCTACACTTCCCTCTGTGGTTACACAAACCACAATATGAAGATTCATGTGTACATCAACAGTCCAGTATATGTCTTTCCAGTTTTCTTTAACCATACATATTCATACATATGTGTGTTTCCTAGTTGGTACAAAAATGAAGTTCTAGTAGTCATAATAAACTGTAAATTTTGTCCTTCACTTCAGTGGTCCCAACCTTTTTTGGCACCAGGGACCGGTTTCATGGAAGACAATTTTCCACAGATGCAGGGGGCACTCAGGCGGTGATGTGAGCAATGGGCGGCATCTGTCGCTCCGTTTGTTCATTTCTTGCTGTGTACCCACTGCCCTGAAGTTTCACAGAAGACAATGTTTCCTTTTCCACAGATGGAGAGAGGGGAGGGAGACAACAGAGGTCTGCAGCCTGGTCCCTAACAGGCCAAAGATGGACAGATACCAGTACACAGCCCAGGCACTGGGAACAACAGCTTTACTTAACAAAAGTACATGAATATTCTTTGGCTCAAAAGTTATAGCAGCTAACTCATTCTTTCTAATAACTACATAACTATTCATAGCACGAATAAAGCACCATTTGTCAATGTAATACACTACTGAAGGATATTCAGATTGCTTCCAATATTTCTTTTTGCCCCTATAATCCATCTAGCAATAAACAGCATTGTTCAAATATCCTTACATATTGGTGCTTTTATTTTTATGTGATAGATGCTAAAAAATGAGATTTAGCATTTTTCCCAAGTACTATTCTATTAAATAAATGCTTTATATTTATTATCTCATTTAATCTTGATACAACCTGATGAGGTATAATTATCACTGCTGTTTTTAAGTATGATGAAATTTAGGTAAATAACTTTTCCAGGGTCACTAGCTAGTACGTGATGGATAAAAGATTTCAACCCAGGAAGTCCAGCCTCTGAGTCCTTGCTTTTACATCACCCTTACCCCCAAATTTCCAAATTCCTTCCCCCAGAGATTGCACCTGCTTACAGGTTTTCCATCATAGTTTCTATGAACCACCCAAACATTTCCATTGTACAACACAGAACACTTTATCTAATGATGGGACATCAATAGCAGGCAAGGTGTTTCTTTGGGTGCACAAATTCTATCTTGTTTGTTTCCAAACACAATTGAGTATGTTCCCCATAGTTTGAAAACTTCTACAATGTGGAATTTGGTTACCTCAAAGACTCTCTGACTTATAGCAGTTGAGATCAAGAAATGAGTATGTGTTAGCTACTGAATGGAATGCAAAGTACTGCATTAGGACAGGGTGTCTTTGCTAACAGCTTCCAGATTTACACTTCAGGAAAGCAGATGTCATGAATTTTCCATTCATAGCATATGTTGTAAAAATTGTTACCCAAAAAGGTCTCTTGGCTTTTAATCTTCAGAAAATGAAGTCATTTTTCCTCCCCTTCTCAAAACCAAAATTCTCTAAATTGATTACAACTATAATGGTATCCACTGTTTTTATGTTTCTTATTAATTGTATTTATTTTTCCCAGAAGTGTTTCAATCTGCAATAGAGTCCTGCGGACTTGAGCAAATGGTGTAGTTTTTATTAATGAACCAAATTAAACTAAGCAATCTGTAATTGCTTTTCCTTTGGAAGAGGACAACTTAAAGGTATGACATTGCATTCTGGCTTCTATGGTGAAACAGGAATATGAAATGATAAATGCTAAATACTGTCCTGAGGTTAACATCATATTTTAGGAGAGAAACAGAGACACAATGGGATGATCATAGAAGCCTGGGAAATAATTGATTGCATTTAATAGGGAGTGTGTGGGTGGTGGTTTGGCAAAGAAAGAGTCCCAAGATTATTATGCTTCAAGAAATGCAACTGGAGATGCTCAGTGTTAAAGATCTTCATACTGATAATAATACTTTAGACCTAGAGAAACATTACTGATCTAGCAACTTCTGTGGATGACCTAATGTTCAGCTGGCACCACTACCACTCTCGTAGCAAGACAGAGTTATGCAAGGGTTCTTCTGGGAAAACAGACTGAGATGATTTGCACTGAAAACCTCTTCCCTTGAGCAAAAACGATGTCAACCGTAAAATGAACTACTGAAGAAACAACAGAAAGAGGTTGAGATGGACTGCAGTGCTGTGCTAGAATGCCTTGGCTGCCATGGAAGCTACCAGCATGTAAAATTGCCTCCATAGTTGTGAGTCTTGGAAACTTTGAGTAGTATCATAATTAGGTTGGTGGAGGTCAGCTTTGGGCATGAGTAAACAGTGGCCAGAAATAGCTTAAGTTTGTGGATTTTGAGCTTAAAATTTTTAAAGTTTGTAAATGTTAACATATTCCACAGTAACTCATTTCACACACACCCTCCCTGCTGGGCAGTTAAGTATGGAAAACAGGACTGGGCCCATTTCAATTGGAGGGTACACACTCAGACAAGTATTATAACTTGTCCGGGGCCTTCATATTTCATTGGCTTGCCAGCACACCATGTCTGATGATGTGAAGGAGGCAATGTCAGGGTCAGTCTACAGAGTTCAGCAAAATTCCTTTTCTATAGGAGCAAAGGAGCCCTCCTCCCTAAACCCGCTGATTACTCAGAACCAGACAGCAGGTCAGAAACTGCGGGCCCACCGCGATGAGGGTAACTCCGGAGCAGCAGAGTGGGGATGCAAGAAAGCCCCGCGGTGGCTGGGGTGAGCTATAGGGCGGCCGCAGGACTGGCCGACTGGCCGGGGCGGTGGGGAGCAGAGCCGCTAGCCATGGGCGCAGCCGACCCCGCAGGCAGCTCGCGCCTGGCCCGCCGCCTTCCATCAGCGCCCCGCGCTCCGGGCTGCGCGCCCCGCTCGCCCCTCCCCCTCGCCCCGGCCGTGTTCACTCACTCACGGTCTGGGACACCTTCAACTCCTGGTTGAGCCACTGGCACAGGATCTCCGACATGGTTCGGCCAGCGCCTCAGACCTAAAGCTAGTGCTCGCGTCCTCCCGTTGTTAAGGGCAACCCGTTGCTAAGGAAGCGTATCCTGGCCAGAACTGGGTGAAAGGCGCAGAGAAGAGGGACGCCAGAGCTCAGCCGCAGGGGACGGAAAATCGTGGCCTGCCCCCTGCTGGCCGGTAAGACCTGAGCGTGCGCAAGCGCAGGGCGCTCCGAAGGGCGGGACGCGGGCGGGGCCGTTAGAGAAGTTGGCGAAGAGCCTGGCGGGCAAGCCTTGTGGACCCAGCGGGGGGTTCTTAGATGAGCAGAAAGAAAAAGAGAGTACTTTTTCTTTTATTGATACATAATAGTTTGCACATTTGTAAGATACATGTGAGTATTTTTTACATGCATAGAATGTATAATGATCAAATTAGGGTATTTTGACTATCCATCACCTTGAGTAGTTTTCATTTCTACGTGTTGGTGACATTTCAAGACCTCTCTTACAACTATCTGAAATATACAATAGATCACCCTAGCCTGCTACTGAACGTTAGAATTTATTTCATCTATCTAATTAAGTTCGTACCCATTCACCCACCTATCTTCAGTTCCCTCTCCACCCACACACCTTTCCCCACTTGTGGAATCGATCATTCTACTCTCTATGGCCACAAGATCAAGTTTTTAAGTTCCCACATATGAGTAACAACAGCAGTGTTTGTCTTTCTGTGGCTGGGTTATTCCACTTAACTTAATGACCTCCAGGTCCGTACATGTTGTTGCAAATGACAGGATTTTGTTCTTTTTTATGGCCAAATAGTATGCCATTATACCACTTTTCTTTACCCATTCGTCCGTTGATGGACACTTAGGTTGATTCCCTATCTTTGCTATTGTAAATAGTCCTACAATAAACATGCAAGTCCAGTTATCCATTTGCTATACTGATTTCTAGATACTCAGTAGTGGAACTGCTAGATTGGTACTTCTATTTTCAGTTTTTTCAGAAATCTCCATACTCGTTTCCATAGTGGTTTTACTAATTTACATGCCCACCAATAGTGTATAAGAGTTCCCTTTTCTCCACATGCTTACCAGCATCTGTTATTTTTTGTCTTTGTAATGGTAGTCATTCCAACTGAGGTAAGATATCTCCTTGTGGTTTTCATTTGTATTTCCCTGATCATTTGGAATGTTGAGCATTTTTTCATATTCCTCTTGGCCATTTGTATGTCTTCTTTGAAAAATGTCTGTTGCTGTCTTTTGCCCATTTTTTTTCTGTAAAGGAGATTTTTAGTTTAATTAAGTTCCATTTGTATATTTTTGTTTTACTTGTCTGTATTCTTGAGGTCTTAGCTATAAATCTTTGTGTACACCAATGTCAAGAAAATTTTTCCTAGGTTTCCTTCTAGAATTTTTTTTCATTACTCCAGCTATTGCATCTTCTAAAATTTTTATGGTTTTAAGTCTTACATTTAAGTCTTTAATGCATCTTGAGTTAATTTTTGTATATGGTCATTCTTCTCCATATGGCTATCCAATTTTCCCAGCACCATTTATTGAATAGAGTGTCCTTTCCCAAGTGTCTGTTTTTGTTTATTTTGTCAAAGATCTGTTGGTTGTAGATATATGGCTTTATTTCTTCGTTCTCTAGTCTGTACCATTGATATATTTGCCTATGTTTATGCCAGTCTCAAACTGTTTGGGGTACTGTAGCCTTATCATATAATTTGAAATAGGGTAATATGATACCTCCAGTTCTTTTTGCTTAGGATTGCTTGGGGTATGTGGGCTTTTTTGGTTACATATGAATTTTAGGATTTTTTCTAATTCTATGAAAATTGATGTTGGTGTTAGGAATTGCATTGAATCTGTATATTGCTTGGGACACTATGGTCATTTTAACAATATTAATTCTTCTAATCCGTGGACATGGAATGTTTTTTTGTTTGTTTATTTGTGTCATCTATGATTTCTTTCATCATTGTTCTATAGTTTTCCTTGTAGAAATATTTCCCCTTCTTAGTTGAATATATTCCTAGGTATTTTATTTTTTTGCAACTATTGTATAGGATTTACTTCTTGATTTAGTTCTCAGATTCATTGTTATTGGTGTGTAGAAATGCTACTGGTTTTTGTACATTGATATTGTAACCTGAGATTTCACTGAATTTATTTATTCAATCTAGAAGACTTTTGGAGGAGTCTTTAGGGACTTTATATTATCTTAGATATAATATCATATCATCAGAAACAGAGATAATTTGACCTCCTCTTTTCCAATTTGAATCCCCTTTATTTCTTTCTGTTTCCTAATTTCTCTGGCTAGGACTTCCAATACTATGTTGAAAAGAAGTGATGAAAGTGGGCATCCTTGTCTTGTTCCAGTTCTTAGGGGGAATGTTTTTACCGGTTCTCCATTCAGTATGATATTGGCAGTGGGTTTGTCATATATGGCTTTTATTATTTTGAGGAATGTTCCTTCTAGGCCCAGTTTGTTGAGAGTCATGAAGAATTCAATATCATGAAGAGATATTGAATTTTATCAAATGCTTTTTCTTCATCTGTGGGGACGATCATATAGTTTTTGTCCTTCATTCTCTTGATGTGATGAATCAGGTATATTGATTTGCATATGTTAAACCATTCTTTCATCCCTGGTATAAATCCCACCTAATCATGGTGTATTATCTTTTTGATATGCTGTTAAATTTGATTTGCTAATATTTTGTTGAGGATGTTTGCATCTGTGTTCACCAGGAATATTATCTTGCAGTTTTCTTTTGTTGTTGTTGTTGTGTCCTTGTCTGATTTTGGCTTCAGGGTAATACTAGCCTCAAAGAATGAGTTAGGGTGAATTCCCTCCTCCTCAATACTTTGTAACAGTTTCAAGAAGAATGGTATTAGTTATTCATTGTGTGTTTGGTAGAATTTGGTAGTGGATCCATCTGGTTCTGGGCTTTGCTTTGTTGGGAAACTTTTTATTACTGATTCATTCTCACCACTTATTATTGGTCTGTTCAAGTTTTCTATTTCTTCCTGGGAGGTCATGTGTTTCCAGGAATTTATCTATTTTCTCTATGTTTTCTACTTTGTGAGTGTACAATTGTTCATAATAGTCTCTATTGATCTTTTGTATTTCCATGGTGTCAGTTCCAGTGTGTCATTTTTCATTTCTGATTTTGTTTATTCAGGTCTTCTCTCTTTTTTCCTTGGTTAGCCTACCTAACAGTTTATTAATTTTGTTTATCATTTCAGAATACCAACTTTCTATTTCATTGATCCTTTGTACTTTTTTCAGTCTCTATTTTGTTTAATTCTGCCTCTGATCTTTATTATTTCTTTCATTGTGCTAATTTTGGGTTTGGTTTGTTCTTAATTTTCTGGTTCCTTGAGGTGAATTCTTATATTGTTTATTTGAAATATTTCTACTTTTTTGATGTTGGCATTCATTGCTATAAACTTCTCTCTTACTACTGTTTTTGTTGTATCCCACAGGGTTTTGGTATGTTGTGTTTCTAATTTCATTTGTTTCAAGAAATTCTTTTATTGCTATCTTAATTTCTTTGTTGACCCAGTGGTCACTCAGGAGCATGTTGCTTAATTTCTATGTATTTGTATACCTCCCAAAGTTCTTCTTGAAATTGATTTCTAGTTTTATCCCATTGTGGTCTAAGAAGATACTTGATCTGATTTTGGTTTTTAAAATTTGTTGAGACTTGTTTTGTGGCCTATGATATGTTCTATCCTGAAGAATGTTCTGTGTACTGATGAGAACAGTGTGTATTCTGCAGTTAATGGATAAAAGGAGAGTCTCAGTTAAAGATTTTTTTTTCTGTTCGTCTTTTAAAGAAATCATATTTAAGCTTTTTTTCTAATAGCAGTTTGTTATTGATTTACAAATTGTTAGGTTTAATTGCTATATTATATGAGCTGCCCTGGCAAGGACAAAATCTATCTTATTCATCTTTTTATTCCCAGATCTGGTACAGTACCTGACATGCAGTAAGCACTTGATAATTTTTGTTGGCAGTGGTGGCAGAAGTCAAAATTAGGATAACTAATGTCCTAATTACAATAGGATATATATATTATTTTAGGATAGGATAGGATATATATATATATTATATATATTAGGATAACTAATATAACTAATATCTATATTGTTTTTAGAGGTGAAATGCTACTGAATTTTTTTTTCTGGTCAGTTCTTCCTTTTGAGTAATTACTTCAAAATTGTTTTCTGACAAAACCTCCTTGACCAAACCTGAGTCAGTCTCCTCTTCCAGGAAATCCTGACCTTGTACTTGTCCTTAGTATGCTGAGTTCAGTGTTAGCAAGAATCTAGCTGGGTTAATTTAGTGAGAACCCCCCACTCTGGATATCTATTCAAATTCCTCATCCCCCACCCAATTCCTCATGCCTTAACACTCTGTCCTGCCTTCAGGTTTATGGCTTTTGTTTAATTTTGAATAAAAGTGATGAAAGTGGGCATCTTGAATCCTATCAAATCAGTTTAGCCAGAATCCTCTTGACCCCAATGTTTCCTCTTAGTAGTTTTTCATCCAGGGACCCTCCCCGCCCCGCAATTCAGATATAAATCCCCACTTTACCTTGTATTTGGACTTGAGCTTGCTCTCTCTCCTTCACTGTAAAACCCCATTGCAGTAGTACCTTGAATAAAATCTTCCTTACTCTCTTTAACATGTATCAGAAAAAAAAATTTCTTTAGTAATTTCAAAAGGTTTAGATGGAATAATATTAGGTTATTAAGTATGAAATGTCCATTTTATTTAAGGACAAAGTTTGACAGTTGCTATCTCTGACATTTCACTTTGACACCTCTTGTTTTATTATTATTGTGAAGATACATCTTCAATCTTTTAAATGCATGTTTTGGTTTGTGATTATCTTCCAAATTTTTTTGGAGCAATTTTTATGAAACCACAGATAAGTCAAAAATTAGTGTTATTTTCAAATATAAATTCTGTTGTGTAACCAATGCAATGCATACAGCTGTGCCTGATGAACACACAGTACATTTCTAGTTTCAGAAGTTCCATTCTGGTGATTTTAATGCTGAAAATGAACCATGTGGGCGACCTGAGACCAAGGTGGATAATGATGAGCTGAAAGCTGTAGTGGAAGCGAATCCATCTCACCTACACTTGAATTAACAGTAAGGTTTGACGTT